TACACTTAGTGGCGTTATTTTATGTTTTTAATTTGTACACTTAGTTTACAAACATTCTGCCAACCATGGATTTCCAGTGGTGGGTTTTGGACTGATCTTGTTGATCGTGTACATACCCGCTACGAACGGACTAAATAATGAAAACGCTGCTGGCAGCGGAATCCAATACAGCTGGGAGACTTGGCTGGATGACAGAGTCCCGGACAGAGAAGTGGAGCCGGCCGGCTTCACCCTGGTCAGAGCGGACCGCGATCTGACACAGTCACAGGGAAAATCGATCCTGGTAAGAGAGCGACTCTGTACCCCCGACATTGAACTGCTTTCTGTGTCACTGCGACCTTACTATCTGCCCCGTGAGTTCCCCCAATTGTTTGTTACCGTTGTGTACTGTTGATAATCACAAGTTTACTGGAGAACTGAGACCAAGTAGAGACTTTGGACAGGGTGGATATGGTATAATAAAGGCAGTTTATTCAGAGGTAAAGATATCTGGAATCGCGTGCACGGACTCGTTCGTCAAACTCTTAGGGAGCTATCTGAAGAGAGCCCCGAAAACATTGTGTGCAGACATTTTATACAATAAATGATGTAGGTTGAATCTAGTAGTTCTGATCTTCTGATTGGTCCTGATGAGTTGGGCGAGGTCCCCTCCACTGTTGCATTGGCTCTGAGTCGGGTTCTCTGTCTTCAAATGTTCAGCCTAAAGAGAGGGGATTTTTGTGTGTGTGTGTGTGTGTGTGTTTAACAGTGATGATGTGTGTGTGTGTGTGTGTTATCAGTGATGATGTGTGTGTGTGTGTGTGTTTGTGTGTGTGTGTGTGTGTGTCCTCAGAGCAAGAACTCGTGAGTTGGAAGAACTGAGAGACCTATGGCGTGGGTGTTGTCCTTGGCCACCTGCTGACAAGGCTGACAAGATAGGACTCTTTTGTCCATTGTTATAGGATAGGAACAGCATTGATTGAAAACAAACGCCCAACACAAAATGGGTCATGCACAAGATTTTAGTCAGACCAAGCTATAACATTATATATTTACTACGACCAGATAAAATAAGTTATGATGAACTTCACAGGGTGGTGAAAGTGCAAGGTGATGAGCTTGATGCTCCTTTCCTATAAATATCGAGGGTCTCATTCTGGTGAATCATCGATGCTTGCTGCCGTTTGACAAATAATAATAATATAGCTCTTTTGTCCATAATAATCTCATCATGTATGTAGGCCAGGGTTTCCCAACTCCAGTCCTCGAGTAACCCCAACAGCATAAACGTTTGTTATAGCCCAGACAAACTCACCTGATACAACTCATTGAGGGCTTGTCCGGGGCTACAACAAAGATGTGTGCTGTTGGGTGTACTCAAGGACTGGACTTGGGAAACACTTTGTAGGCTATACCCGCACTGTATCTGCAAGGTGTTGGCTAGAGCGCACATGTGCACTATTTAACGCAACATTTCTTGCGATAAAACCATTGTAGAGTTGAAAATGCAATGGAAACCCACTTAACGTGGTCCTCTGTAGCTCAGCTGGTAGAGCACGGCGCTTGTAACGCCAAGGTAGTGGGTTCGATCCCCGGGACCACCCATACACAAACAAAAATGTATGCACGCATGACTGTAAGTCGCTTTGGATAAAAGCGTCTGCTAAATGGCATATTATTATTATTAACTTGTATTTTTTATTCTGTACATGGGAATTTTACCTCAAAAGTTATTTTTATGTGCACTATGTCATCACGCACAGCCTTTTATCCGTAACAAGTCAATTTCATGAAAACTCATCTCTGGTGGGAAAATGCATATATATATATATAATGTGTTTTACACACTATAAAATATATTGAATGCCATTACATTGCTGCCGCTGGTAATCGACTGGTATTTGCATCACAACACTGACACCCTCTGACTGAAATGTGTACTTCTAATCATATTGAGAAGAATACTGATTGGTCAATAGGGGGCGCCCCAGACTAAGTTATGGCCAGTGTCTGTGACCAATCAATAGGCCTAAAATGTTGCGTAAAAAACAATGACATGTTTCTTTCTGATCAAAAGTAGATCATCATTCAAGGTCATGAATGTCGCCCTTCTCAAACGAAAACGGCTACTGTGATGCTCTTCGGCTCCACTCGGACAAACTCGGGCTTAGAACGTGGGCGTGCTCCCTCCCAGTCCGCCGGTTGCTGGCGGGTTATACACTGTATCCGCAGGATAGAACAGCAGCCTCTGGTAAGACAAGGGTTGGCGGTCTATGTATATTTGTAAACAACTGCTGGTGCACGATATCTAAGGAAGTCTCGTGGTTTTGCTTGCCTGAGGTAGAGTATCTCATGATAATCTGTAGACCACACTTCCTACCAAGAGAGTTTTCATCTATTTTCTTCGTAGCTGCCTATTTACCGCCACAAACCGATGCTGGCACTAAGACATGATCAAGATAAAGGAGATGATTGTGGACTACAGGAAAAAGAAGAGGACCGAGCACGCCCCCATAGACCGCACTCAATGAAATGTATAAGCAAACAGGAAAACGCTCATCCAGAGGCGGCGCTCCTAGTGGCCGGGGACTTTAATGCAGGGACATTTAAATCCCTTTTACATTTACATTTTACACATTTAGCAGACGCTCTTATCCAGAGCGACTTACAGGAGCAAATAGGGTTAAGTGCCTTGCTTAAGGGCACATCAACAGATTTTTCACCTAGTCGGCTCAGGGATTAGAACCAGCGACCTTTCGGTTACTGGCACAACGCTCTTACCCACTAAGCTACCTGCCGCCCCCACACACAGAGACGCATACAAAGCTCTCCATCACCCTCCATTTGGAAAATCTGACCATAATTCTATCCTCCTGATTCCTGCTTACAAGCAAAAACTAAAGCAGGAAGCACCAGTGACTCTGTCAATAAAAAAGTGGTCAGATGAGGCAGATGCTAAGCTACAGGACTGTTTTGCTAGCACAGACTGGAATATATTCCGGGATTCTTCCGATGGCTTTGAGGAGTACACCACATCAGTCACTGGCTTCATCAATAAGTGCATCGATGACGTTGTCCCCACAGTGACTTTACGTACATACCCCAACCAGAAGCCATGGATTACAGGCAATATCCACACTGAGCTAAAGGGTAGAGCTGCCGCTTTCAAGGAGCGGGACTCTAACCCGGAAGCTTATAAGAAATCCCACTATGCCCTCAGACGAACCATCAAACAGGCAAAGTGTCAATACAGGACTAAGATCGAATCGTACTACACCGGCTCCGACGCTCGTCAGATGTGGCAGGGCTTGCAAACTATTACAGACTACAAAGGGAAGCACAGCCAAGAGCTGCCCAGTGACACGAGCCTACCAGACGAGCTAAATTACTTCTATGCTCGCTTCGAGGCAAGTAACACTGAAACATGCATGAGAGCATCAACTGTTCCAGATGACTGTGTGATCACGCTCTCCATAGCCGATGTGAGTAAGACCTTTAAACAGGTCAATATTCACAAGGCCGCAGGGTCAGACGGAATACCACAACGTGTACTCTGAGCATGCGCTGACCAACTGGCAAGTGTCTTCACTGACATTTTCAACCCCTCCCTGTCTGAGTCTGTAATACCAACATATTTCAAGCAGACCACCATAGTCCCTGTGCCCAAGAACACTAAGGTAACCTGCCTAAATGACTACCGACCCGTAGCACTCACGTCTGTAGCCATGAAGTGCTTTGAAAGGCTGGTCATGGCTCACATCAACACCATTATCCCAGAAACCCTAGACCCACCTCCATTTGCATATCGCCCCAACAGATCCACAGATGATGCAATCTCTATTGCGCTCCACACTGCCCTTTCACACCTGGACAAAAGGAACACCTATGTGAGAATGCTATTCATTGACTACAGCTCAGCGTTCAACACCATAGTGCCCTCAAAGCTCATCACTAAGCTAAGGACCCTGGGCCTGTTCACTCATGACTGCATGGCCAGGCACGACTCCAACACCATCATTAACTTTGCAGATGACACAACAGTGGTAGGCCTGATCACCGACAACGACGAGACAGCCTATAGGGAGGAGGTCAGAGACCTGGCCGTGTGGTGCCAGGACAACAACCTCTCCCTCAACATGATCAAGACAAAGGAGATGATTGTGGACTACAGGAAAAATAAGAGGACCAGCACGCCCCCATTTTCATCGACAGGGCTGTAGTGGAGCAGGTTGAGAGCTTCAAGTTCCTTGGTGTCCACATCACCAACAAACTAACATGGTCCAAGCACACCAAGACAGTCGTGAATAGGGCATGACAAAACCTATTCCCCCTAAGGAGACTGAAAATATTTGGCAGATCCTCAAAAGGTTCTACAGCTGCACCATCGAGAGCATCCTGACTGGTTGCATCACTGACTGGTATGGCAACTGCTCGGCCTCCGACCGTAAGGCACTACAGAGGGTAGTGCGTATGGCCCAGTACCCCCCCCCCCCCCCCTCTTTTATGCTGCTGCTACTCTGTTTATTATCTATGCATAGTCACTTTAATAACTCTACCTACATGTACATATAACCCCAATTACCTCGACTAACCGGTGCCCAGGCAGATTGACTCAGTACCTGTACCCCCTGTATATAGCCTCGCTATTGTTATTTTTACTGCTACTCTTTCATTATTTGTTACTTTATTTATATTATTTTATATTGTATTTTTTTGTCATTCTTTTTTGTATTCTTTCTTAAAACTGCATTGTTGGTTAAGGGCTTGTAAGTAAACGTTTCACTGTTGTATTCGGCGCATGTGACAAATGAAATTTGATTTGATTTGATTTGCTCCGAGCACGCGGTTACGCGCGTCTAGCGTCAGATGATTACGCGAGGGCGGTGCCAAGTATGATTAAAGCGACGACGAGAACCTCACCGGTAGTTGCATCCTTTCCTTTAACCACCGATAAGCCCATGGTTTAGCTAACGTTAGCCGTTTATACAAACCAGCTCACAAACAATTGTTGTTATATATATATATTTTTTTTTTTATGTCCCGAATTCCAGAAATATCTGTCAAGAATTCGAAACGGAAAATAAACCACATTATGGAGACGGAAATACACGTGCCTGTGGGGTCGCCGGTAATTCGAAAATTCCCGATTTTCGTGGAGGAACATAACGTAACCGATGGGGCAATGAAGCTGATAAAGCAGCTTCGGCCAGCGTGGGACATAAACCATGTCAAGACCAAGGTAAGTTTGACATCTCTCCACTGAATGATGCGCCAATACATCATCATCAATAGATAGCTAACTAAAGTTAGCATAACTATTAGACCAGTCCAGGGCCCTTGATATATTCCTCGTCCCGTGCATACATTTAAAACATGTATTTCGTGCATCACACTGGCTTCTCTTGTATTTAGTTACTTAGTTTGCAGTTATTCAAGCTGAGATCAAAGCTAGTGGTGTTCGCAAGCTAGTTAACCACGTTAGATTGGTTTCGTCCTGGGTGTAGCAGCCAGTAGCTAACTAGCTAGCTGTCACTACTCCAACCTTGGAGTCTTTAGGTCGAATCAAAAAGGAATATTCGTGTCTGTATTGTGTGTTCCATGGATACATTGACAGAAAAGTCATACCTCTCCCTTCTTCGTGTGGTTTTCCGGCAGACTAGACGCTTTGTTGCGTATTGCTGCCTTTCACAGTTTGGAAAGTGCATTACACATTTGTTCACAAGAAAATAAATTGCACCTAGATAGATAACTCTCTCTCTCTCACTCTCACACAAAAACCCTACTTGGCCCCAACAGATCTTACACCAGGCCATCGGCCTGGGAGGCTACAACCCCTTCTCTCAAAACCGCTTGTAGTTTTTCTGCATTACAATCTCTGATACCCAAAAACCTCTCTGCTGCTGCTGCTACTACCAATTCAATCTTCTTGGATTTCCTTTCCATCTGTGCTGTACAATCAATGATCATAGCAATAAACGGCAAGTAGCCAACCTTACTAAAGCACAAACTGTTCGGGTCACTCTGTACTGGCCTACTAGTCACAGGGATCCTCTCAGGCTCCCTCACCATTTGCCCACCATCCTCTACTTTCCTCACTGCCTCAGCATGACACTTTCTGCACTGCTCTCACCCTAGAAATGTCAATCTGTCTCACTTGCACAGGACATTTTGGATCCGCACCCCCACAATTGAAACTCCACTTTTTACCCCAAAACTCCACACTATTTTGTCCTATGCTCTCCTGCACACTTCTCACACCTTGGAATCTCCATCCTACATACAGAATGGCTGCAACATGACCATAAACTTGCCACCTAAAACAGAGTAGTGGGTTCAGAAAAAATGCTCTCACGGGATAACTTCTATACCCTAGCATGACTATATCCAGCAAACACTCTGCATCAAAACTCAGGACAGACAGGGTCTCCTCAGTCTGCGTCGCACCAAACGGCATGCATCACACACACCAGGTATCCCCAACTTCAGTTGATCCACCTTAACACTCAACCCCACCCCAGTTATCACTCCTTTCAGTGGCGCTCTACTCCGGAGATCAAAGTAGGACACTGCTTTCGTCCCGAGACTCGAAACGCATAGCGCCCTCTCCCTCTAAGCAGCAGACACACCTCTGGATACTTTAACCGAATTGACAGAACCCATCTCCTTCTTCACCCAGTCTGATACCACAAACAGATCGGCCAAAAGGCATGGATCCACTTTTTCCATGAATCGTACTCCCCCTGGGCCAGAGTCATATCTGGCATTTTCCTGATCATTGGGTGGCTCGTAAGCCTTCACCTCACCTGACGTCGCAGGTCCTTTCTCCTCACTTTTGTCAGGATCAATTTCAAGTTCAGTCTGTAGACTGGTCAGGGTCTTCTGGCACGTAACATGCATTTTTCTCTCCTGTACTTGACCCAAAGGAGAAAGTACTCGGCTTGTATTTGTCGGTTCGGGTTTGCACCTCGCGCCTTTCTTTTTGCCTCGCTGCTTCTCGCCATCTGCCCACTTCCATGCCCGGTCCTCGGACATGACTTACATCTCCGTTTGGGACTTCAGGAAACTCAGTATCGAGTCGCCCGCTGATGCCATGTTCCCTCCTTTGATTGCTTTTAGAACTGAACTGATTCCAAATTAAACAAGACTCTCAGAAGCACAGTGCATATTTCATGTCTGAAGGCCTTACCATTGCTGAAATTACAATTTGTGTAATCTGTGGTTAATATCCGGTCGTAGGTTCAATTCTAAATGCTGCCTCAATTGCTGCATGTTCCAAAGAACCTCAGGTTTAAATGTATTAAAGTTTATTTTAGTATCACCAAATCGATAGAACGAGAGCAGGAGACGAAGGGCTCAGTGAGAGAGAACATCTCCGCCTTATCCAAGCAGAACGCCCCACTCTCTCCCTCAGTTAGCTAACGGTGGCTAGCTAGCTAAACAGCTTGTTCACCTACTTGTGGTAAATCTACGATCACTTCAACAATTCAGCATGAAATGTTGATAGCAGCATAGCAAAATGTTCATTAGAATGTAGTTTTCTCCACAAAACTCCTCCTAGTCAGTCAACTTGTATACTTTGAGTTGGTACTCAAATAGTTTATGATTGGACAAGATAACACCTCTAAATGGACGAATGTGAAAGCAGTATTTTCAGGAGAGCAGGAAAAGTGGTTGTCAGAAGCATCAAACGGTTCTGGCCCCACTGATTGAGGGAGCTCCTTCGATATCAGAGAGACATGCTCACAAACGATTTATCAGACGTTAACATTTACACACGTTGTTCACAACATATTAAGGAAGATATCTATGCAAAAATATTTCCATTTAATTCACAGTTGATCAGAATATCATAATTTATCAAGTGAACACCAGAGTGGACAGTCAAAATCTCCTAGCTAGCTATCTCATTTGCATTCCCCACTGCCTCAATAGCTTCATGTAAATACAGGAACTTTGAAAGCTTTCCTCTCAGATAAGATGGACAGGGTAGTGGCAAAACTGTGTGCGTGTCCAGAGGATTTTAGTACCCTGTGAGTCACCCATTGTCCGATGACGACGTCATATCCCCATCCATAATTGCCTCACTCCTGACCCCCGACACACTCCTAACTTTTGGCTTCACGCACACACCCACATAAGACACAACTCACCTCAACTACACACACACACACACACACACACACACACACACCTCAATCTCATCTCATCTCCATACCAACTGGAGTTGATGTCCATTGATAGACCAAGCTAGGTCTATTTATTACCCTGTTTGTGTGAATGACTGTGTGTGATGTCTGCCACGTTTAGGGTTCCTGTAGGGGAAAGGGGAAATGCATTATTCACTGGCACTAAGCAGTAGGTAGGCCTGCTATTGGGTGAATCTTGTCTCTTGACAAAGTGTCAGCTGTTTTATGGCAATGTGTTGATATGTGACGTATGATGATGACACTCATGCTACATGACACACTGGTTTCATTCGGGCTTTGTAGAGCTGGGACGATAAACCGGAAAATTACCCGACACCGTTTACATCGGTAATTTTCTGTGATTTTGCTACACAACATTCCTGTAGATTGTTCTAACACCATTATTTGGTCAACAGTAATGGCATATGCATTATGTTGATTCCTACTATGAAAGTATCTCTGTCCCTGTTTGGCTGTCGACTGCTGACTCTCACTCCCTCTCCCCACTGTGCGCACGGAGGAGGGAGAGATGCATTCTGAGAAGCACAAGCATGACTGTTGCTAAAAATGCTATTGCGGGAAAAATGCAGTTTTCAAAGCAACTGCTGTTGTTCTGGAACGTTTTTGTAGGACATTAGCCTACATTTACTGATAGCCATGTAGTCTAATTGATCAATCTATCTAGCAACAATGTCATATTTAGAGTTAGCAATCTAGCTAAGTGTTTTGAGTTCCCACTTCCTCAGGTGGTGAATAATGTAGCCTATAGGCCAATATGCACAAAGATGTCGGCAAATTCTTATGGTTGTGGTGAGAAATGTGTCAATTTATCACAATCTGGATTTTTGGCCATATCTCCCAGCTCTAGGGCCTTGCTAGTGAGACTAACTTCCCACTCCTCGACTAGTGCTGACAAACTTACACATGTCTAACTACCCAGTCATTCTGGGTTGTTTTGTACATTGAGGCCAGAATGTGACTGTGTCTCAGCTGAATGTTTACCTGTGTGTGTGTGTCTAGTCCCTCCCTGTCCCCCCCTGCTGCCCTGTGACTGAGAACGTGACACTGTTGACCTCCCAACACAGCTTTTCTCAATGGGAGCCACCCAAACAGGCTTTGTCCCCCTGCCTTTGTCCCTGTAACCCACTACAGCCCCCCCCCAGACATGGACACGTGCCAACTGAGAGAGAGAGAGATGGAGGACAAACTGAGCGAGACTGGGAGGACAGACAGAGACGGAGAGCTGGGAGACCGAGAGAGAAACTAGTTGGAGAGCAGTGAAGGTGGGAGGGGAGGGGGGGTTACTGGAACTGACTGAGCCACCTGGACAGGATTGGGAGGGGGCCGGGGTGCTTTTTGTTACTGTAAATATCTAGTGTCCAGTCCCAAACATCCTGCCCTCTGTCCCTACAAACACCAGAACCTGCCAACACCGACACCCCAGTCACATCCCATTCCCTTCACCTTTGACCTGCTTATTATCACACATTAATGCCATGTGGCCTTCTGCCAATTCTGATGTGGGTGTGCAAGAGATATTTCGTAACTTTTGCGTGTTTGATTGTCAATGGCCTCATCAATGGATAGAAACTGAGAGAAGGGTTCAGTCTCAACAGAGAAGATCAATGCTCTGGAGAAGGTTTTCATTTGAGCCAAAGCTTTTAAGCGTAGCCACAATAAAGTGATGGCCTACTAAGATATGCAGACGTTTTGTTCTCATTCAAAGAACATGTCACCTAAAACAGAATGTTCATTAATAATTACCCCAGTTGTGTTGGAGCTTATTGCCTGTGACACATGGAGAAACTCACACACACTGGGGCACGATGATCACAGGTCTTAGTGGTGCGTTGTGTTCTGGGTATGTGTAGACTGTCACGGGATAAATAAAGCAGTCACAAAGCGGTGTACGTGTGTGTGGTCATAACACGGTGCCCATGTGCCCATCTCTCTGGTCAACCATGCTGGGAATGCCTGCTATGTAGGGGTGGGCGGCCAGAGAGAGGGCCAGTGTGTATAGGGCTAGTCGCTCTGTGGTCTCTAGCTGTGGGGATGGATATCTGCTGACTGTCAAATCACTAGTCCGGATTGTCCACAATCCAGAATATGGTCAGTTATTAGCCATTGGGTGGATCTCAATGGTCTGAACTGGTTGGAAAGGAGATGGGGAAAGAAAGCCACACTTAACTAAAGACTACATATGCAGACCATGAGTTCCTGTGTGTTACTTTCTCCCCCAACAGTAGTCATTGAATGAAGTGGCTCACACTGGTAATGCAAACAGCTTCCTTGTCTGGGAGACGTTAAACAAGTAGCCTAGCTGTAAAGCCCTTGCCCTTTGGCCCAGTTGTCCAGCTTCAGTGTAACCCATAATACTGTAACTGTGTCTTATCTCAGCTCACAAGATAGGCTAGTCAGACCTTCGAGGAAATCACTGTTGTGACTCCCTCAACCTTCTCATGGTCATCTAGGCCTACGCTTCCTGATATGATTCCTGACAAGGACAGGCTTGTGCCTCAAATGACCTAGTGACAGTAAACTAGAGTAGAGTCAACTAAACTATACCTTCACTGTTGGGAAAGGGGCATACCTAGTCAGTTGTATTACTGAATGCATTCAACTGAAATGTGTCTTCCACATTTAACCCAACACCCTCTAAATCAGAGAGGTGCGGGGGGCTGCCTGAATCGAAATCCACGTTATCAGCGCCCGGGGAACAGTGAGTTAACTGCCTTGCTCAGGGGCAGAACGACAGATTTGTACCTTGTCAGCTCGGGGATTTGATCCAGCAACCTTTTGGTTACTGGCCCAACGCTCCTACCCGCCAGGCTACCTGCTGCCCCTACTGATGCATTTTGCTGTATTAATCTCTCCCTCACTCCCTACCTTTCTCAGCTCTTCACTGATGGGACCACTAATAAGCTGGTGGGTTGTTATGTGGATGCCAGTCCAGAAGACGTGGTTCTGGTGCGTGTGTACGGGAACAAGACGGAGCTGATCGTCGACCGAGACAACGAACTCAAGAGCTTCCAGGTGCGCACACACGTTCTCAAGAGCTTCCTGGTTCTCAAACACACACACACATATATATATATATATACACACACACACACTTTACAGTTCACACATTTGACACTTCAGAGCATTTCACGATCAAACTCAGGAACAAAGTGCATCTACACTGGTAGCGAAGTTCAACTCCCTGTGCATGGACCCATATGGAGGCTACTTCCTGGTCTGTCTTATGAGGTCATCTGTGTCTAATCCTTTGCATGTCTTTCCAGGTGCTACATGCTAATGGCTGCGCGCCACGCCTCTACTGCACCTTCCAGAATGGCCTCTGCTACGAGTTCATGCAGGGGGACGCTCTCGGAACACAGGACGTCAGGGACCCTACTTTACTCAGGTGAGGACATTTACTAGAAAACCATCTTCAAGCTGATCCTGGTATCTGTCTAGCCTGCAGGGAAAGCCTGCTTTGATGTGTAAATATACACACCCTCAATACAAGCTCCTTGAGGAGATAGATAGCTAGGAGTTTATAGTGCACTCCACTGCACTGCGTGTGCTCATTCAGGTCCTGTCGCACCTCTCACTGTCTGCTCTGCTGGATTTAGGGTTTAGTTGGAGTTCCATGTTAACAGCAGAGAGAACATGGCAATGGTGTGGTGCTCCCCTGTTCTACCAGCAGAGAGGTTAGCTGACTATTACTGAGTCCAGAGGGACTGATGAGTCTCTAGGCAGTACTAAGCCCTGTTGGCTGCACCATGGAACTACAATAAAACTGTGTATAGTAAACACCAGAAAAAGGTCAGATAACAGTCAAGTACATTTATTTTTCATTGATCAGAACAGGATGCAGGACACAAACATATTTTGGGGGATAGGAGTCATTTTGCAATGAGCATGTTGTCTATTATTTCATCATACTTGCAGAATGATGAGTATTGAGTAGTGTGTGTGTGTGTGTCCTCAGACTGATATCCAGGGAGATGGCTCGTATCCATGCGATCCACGCACACAACGGCTGCATCCCCAAACCCAACCTGTGGATCAAGATGAGGAAATATTTCTCTCTGGTCGCCACCGAGTTCACCGAGCAAGCCTCTAACGCCAGGTAAGAGGAACCTGAACACACACAATACTCTGTACCAGTTCACCTGAACACACACACACACACACACACACACAGACTGTAGAGAAACCAGACTGAAGTTACACACACACACACACACACACACACACTTTGGCCCTCTTACTCAATAAGGTATTTTCTTAAAACGGTTTACTGTTCATACATGCGCTGGCCAGCTGTCTCCCAGTCCTGTCCTCAATGGCTGTGTCTGCCTGGGTCTGCTATTCATTCCTCTATACAGGCTCTTATATAAGTGTGATCATAACTACAGCGCAGGGTAGAGGTGGATTAGGGAGGCGGAGGTATGCACTGGGATAACAGATGTTTGCATACCACTTATCAGCAAGCCTAGAACGCCTGGGTAATGTAGCGAGCTAATGCGTCATTCAGCCTGCCTGCCTGCACTGTACAAACAAACACGCACACACGTAGACTCAACAACTGTGCCCCAGCCAGCACTATCAGAGGAGGCTTCTGTCTTCTTGTGGGTGGGTACTGGCTGCTCCTATACCCAGCCAACAGCAGAGAACTGGGCAGGCAGGGAGAAGCTGGTTGAGGCTCTGTTGGCGAGAGGTGGCCTGGGTAGATGGACCTCAGTGGGGATAGGCCATGGGGAGGGAGCAGCAGCAGTTGGTGGTAGGTTACTGTTAGTATGGAGCAGTCCAGCCAGTATTAGCTGTTGCTGTACTACTAATGGAAGAAGGTTAGAGGTGGGAGTCCCTGGATAGAGGGTTGAGTTAACACAATGGGAGTCAGTCAATCTTCCTCTCCTCTCTTCAGGCTAACTCTGGATTAACCCTTTAAGCCCATTACCACAGGAGAGCGGCCCTTTCCCCTCAGCACTGCTCCACTGGGCACTCTGACTCTACACAGTGTATACATACACACACACTCCGTGTCTGATTTTAAACTCTATCCTTTTAGGATAAAGACTAGCAATAGGGGCAACCTACTCCCCACTTCCTCCTACCTCTCCCTTCCTCCTGTCTCCCCCCATCTCTCCAGGATCCAGCAGGAGGTGCCCAGCCAGGCAGTGTTGGAGCAGGAGATGGTGTGGATGAAGGAGCACCTGTCTCAGCTGGGTTCTCCTGTGGTGCTCTGTCACAATGACCTCCTCTGCAAGAACATCATCCACAACAGCAAAGAGGGTGAGATATGTCATCAATTTAGAACATCACCCAGATGATCATCCACAAACTCACATCATCCACTTATAACATCATCCAAATGTTACTAATTCCAACCTTTCCTTGTTCTCCAGGCCATGTCCGATTCATAGACTATGAATACTCTAGTTACAACTATCAGGCCTTTGACATCGGGAACCACTTCAACGAGTTTGCCGGTAAGAGGAGATACATGGGCTGTATCTTAGACATGACATGCAGTGTGTGTATGCAGTGCATTCGGAAAGTATTCAGACCCCTTTACTTTTCTACATTTTGTTACGTTACAACCTTATTCTAAAATGGATAAAACATGTATTTAAAAAATCTCATAAATCTACACACAATACCCCATAATGACAAAGCGAAAACAGGCTTTTAGACATTTTAGCTCATTTATAAAAAATAAAAAACAGAAATACCTTATTTACATAAGTATTCAGACCCTTTGCTATGAGACTCAAAATTGAGCTGAGGTGCATCCTGTTTCCATTGATCATCCTTGAGATGTTTCTACAACTTGATTGGAGTCTACCTGTGGTAAATTCAATTGATTGGACATGATTTGGAAAGGCACACACCTGTCTACATAAGGTCCCACAGTTGACATTGCATGTCAGAGCAAAAACCAAGCCATGAGGTCGAAGGAATTGTCCGTATGTTGAGGCACAGGATTGTGTTGAGGCACAGATTTGGGGAAGGGTACCAAAACATTTCTGCAGCATTGAAGGTCCCCAAGAACACAGTGGCCTCCATCATTCTTAAATGGAAGAATTTTGGAACCACCAAGACTCTTCCTAGAGCTGGCCGCCAAACTGAGCAATCGGGGGAGAAGGGCCTTGGTCAGGGAGGTGACCAAGAACCCGATGGTCACTCTGACAGAGCTCCAGAGTTCCTCTGTGGAGATGGGAGAACCTTCCAGAAGGACAACCATCTCTGCAGCACTCCACCAATCAGGCCTTTACGGTAGAGTGGCCAGACGGAAGCCACTCCTAAGTAAAAGGCACATGACAGCCCACTTGGAGTTTGCCAAAAGGCACCTAAAGGACTCTGACCATGAGAAACAAGATTCTGTGGTCTGATGAAACCAAGATTGAACTCTTTGGTCTGAATGCCAAGCGTCACGTCTGGAGGAAACCTGGCACCATCCCTACAGTGAAGCATGGTGGTGGCAGCATCATGCTGTGGGGATGTTTTTCAGCGGCAGGGACTGGGAGACTAGTCAGGATCGAGGGAAAGCTGAACGGAGCAAAGTACAGAGAGAGCCTTGATAAAAACCTGCTCAGGACCTCAGACTGTGGTGAAGGTTCACCTTCCAACAGGACAACGGCCCTAAGCACACAGCCAACGCAACGCAGGCGTGGCTTCAGGAAAAGTCTCTGAATGTCCTTGAGTGGCCCAGCCAGAGCCCGGACTTGAACCCGATCAAACATCTCTGGAGAGACCTGAAAATAGCTGTGCAGCGACGCTCCCCGTCCAACCTGACAGAGCTTGAGAGGATCTGCAGAGAAGAATGGGAGAAGCTCCCCAAATACAGGTGTGCCAAGCTTGTAGCGTCATACCCAAAAAGACTCGAGGCTGTAATTGCTGGCAAAGGGGCTTCAACAAAGTACTGAGTAAAGGGTTTGAATACTTATGTAAATGTAATATTTCAGTTTTTTATTTTGAATACATTTGCCAAAATGTCTAAATACCTGTTTTTGCTTTGTCATTATGGGGTATTGTGTGTAGATTGATGAGGGGGGGAAAAAACGATTTAATCCATTTTTGAATAAGGCTGTAATGTAACAACATTTGGAAATGCACTGTATATAATATGTGTGTGTGTGTGTGTTAACCTGTGTGTTTTCAGGTATGAGTGAGCTGGACTATGGGCTGTATCCTAGCCGTGAGATGCAGCTGGAGTGGTTGCGTGTGTATCTGCAGGCGTACAAACTGTCCACTAAGAAAGGAGAGGAGGTCAGCGACAGAGAGCTGGAGACTCTCTACGTACAGGTCAACAAGTTTGCCCTGGTGAGGAACACTCCGCATCGTCTCTCTCACCATCAGATGAGTTGGTAGATGCTGGGCTGAAACTTGTATTAGTTTGACCCTGTCTAACCTTTGACCTCTTTCTGTAGGCATCACACTTCTTCTGGGGCTTCTGGGCACTCATCCAGGCAAAGTACTCCACCATCGATTTTGACTTCCTGGGGTAAGTGTGTTTGTGTGTGTAATGGTACCCTGTGGAGTGATGTTAAAAGCTGTTGGTTGGCTTGTCTGCCTGTGGTGCATGTGAGTGAAAGGGATCTTTTAATGTGGGTGACAGACTGAAAGACAAACCCAGCAGCACAGTCAAACTCTGTGGTACAGCACAGTTTCCAATACACACAGTTTCCACAAACACACACACTGAGAAAGCAGACCGGTAGAGAAAGAGGCGAGAGAGGGCCTGAGAAAATAGTGGGAGAAAGGAAAGATGGAGTAGAGAGTGAGAGCGGTCTTGTCTTGACTCTGCCCTCCTCGGGGCCTGCAGAGTTGAAACTGACCCTGGTGGTTTCAGTGTCTGCAACCCAATCAGTCCTGCAGTGACGACAGAGCTGTCCCCCCGGTCACTCTCAGTGCCGCTGCCTGTATGAATGACATATTGCTCTTGACAGTTTAACAGCCAGTCAATGGGAGCTGTCTGGGCTATTGTTAGGGCTGCTATTGGATAGTTGGTGCTCTCATTAAGTCAAAATCGATGTTTAAAACTCTCTTCCGCTCTCTTTCAACACTTCCTTCCCCATCTCTCCCTCTTTCTCCCTCCACCTTTCCCCCCATCTCTCCTGCAGGTATGCTGTGCTGCGCTTCAACCAATACTTCAAGACCAAGCCTGCAGTGATGGCCCTACAGATCCCAGAATGAGCAGAGAAGGAGAAGACGAGAGAAGAAGAGAGGACCCCATCACTGGCACTGACCAGGGAAGGGCTGTGCTGGGGTAAAAGGGTTGGGCTAGGAGCTGGGGCTTGGGGATGAGGGGCAAGGGTTGAGCGTTAATACTGGGGTCGAGGGGTGGGGGAAATAACATTTACGGGGCTGAGTGTGGATGGACCACAACATTCTTTTGTAAACTCAGTCCCTGGCAACAAGTGCAAATACTATTTAATTCCTCTTCAACTCTGTCCACCTCTGTCTCACCAGTCAAGCTCATCAAGATTCCCCAAAACAGCCAGGTCTGTGTGTAAATGTTGTCTGTATTTATTCTGTGAAGAATTGATTGACCTAGTGATGTAAGATTCATTCCCCAGGCAGACAGGAAGCTGAAACACTAGCTGAGTCCGGGAGCATTTGGTGCCAACATTGAGGACAGTGTGCAGACAGAGTTGTGAATATATGGGCTCTGGGTTTGCCCTGTGGCTGTGTTCAAGGCATGTAGTATGGGAGAGAGGACAGCCATCTTCAACCCCCTAATCCTTCATGTAGGCACTGATCTGAGAGGATTTCTTAAGCAATATGGTAATGGTTTCGCCATGAAAATAGTGTATTAATTTACATTCAACTACATTAAAAAAGAATGTAGAAAAAAGGTCCAGCAAACACTAAGTCCATTCTCTCAGATCTACACAAAGTGGCTGGGGGTTGATGTAGAACTGGGAAGTTTTAGTTGCTTTGCAGTGAAGGTGGCATTGACGTGTAGGTTAGAGAGGGGCTAGCCATGACAAGACAGTGATATGGTGGTTTAATAATGTCTGTGACGGCAGAGCTGCCTCTGTGGCCAGGAGCAGCTTTGCGTCACTGATACTAAACTTTAAACCAGGGCCTGTTCTCCCTCAGCCTCTTTTCCACCACTTTAGCTTTTATGGTTATGGTGACTCGCTCTGTTAAACTTTGCACTCCTCAGACTACTCTGAAAATCACAACCTCAATCACCCCTGCCTTCCCCAGTCTCCCCCTGCCCTCTCTTACCCCTCTTCCTGCCCTATTACGCTTCTGCCTCTCTCTTGATTGGCTGAGGTGGTGGAGGGACTTTTGCCTGAAGTGCACTTACTCACTGTAACATCCCAACCCCCATCCATCCATCCAGTCATAACTTCCCTAGAAAAGAGCCATAATGTTATACAATGAGATATTGCGTAAACTGTCAGGTCAGAGCCAGTCAATGCTTCAAAGGGTGTGGAATCACTAACCCTAATGTTAGTTCTGAAGCTAATCAGGATGTGAGTGAGGTGACCAAGGACAAGACAGCAGGGTGAAGTCCACACTGAGCCAGCAGCCACGTCCTTCTCTGACTGGCATCATGGCACACAGGTCTTTGGAGGAACTCCAACACCTTTCCTTACCCCAGTCCTCCCTCCCTTCCTCTCCAGCCCTCTCAGATCAGAAGATCAACATGTAAGGGAAACTAGAGGAGAGCCATGTTCTACATCTGCATTGCTTGCTGTTTGGGGTTTTAGGCTGGGTTTCTGTATAGCACTTTGTGACATCTGCTGATGTAAAAAGGGCTTTATAAATACATTTGATTGATTAGAGTATTAGGATATCGTACAGCCTGTCATGTGATCCCTGCCCATGACCACTGGGGGGAGACGGAGAGCGCTGATCCCTGCCCTCCCCTGGCTGTCTCCTGTTACTGACAGGGTTAATAATTCACCAATATAGGACAGAGGAGGGGCTATCCATCATTCAGCAGACCATGACACCATCTTTTACCTGCCTGAACAGGCAGGGTCCATAACTCTGTCCTGGAGTCAGAAATCCTCTCTCCCTAGTCAGTCACTAACATGAATAGTGTTTCAATAGTGTGGAACAAAGCCTGCACACCCTGTAACTGTCCAGGACCAGGGTTTTTGACTACTGGAGTAGTGTTAAGCAGAGCAGAACATCCGCAACATAGCAGCAGATGGAGATGCAACAAATGGAATGGAAATGACTCATACTTGATGTAGGATTGTGTCCATTCTATACAGTACATTTCTATCTTCAACATTCCAAATCATTTATGTCATTGAGTCAGCGTTTTTAAGTGAGTGGAATTGGTTGTGAGAATCTCGTAGTGTTTCCTAAATGGATGGTCAAGGCCCTCTTGTATAAATCTTTTATGAACATTATGGACAGAGACATCACTTTGAAAGGCTTTAGGTGAGTCACAGCTCACCACCTGTTCTATGTAGGCCCAGGGTTGAACTAAGAGGTGACCAAGTGCAATGAATTCCTGTTTATCGTAGATGTACATATGTGAATGTGTTTCCTTTGAGTTGACCTTAAGATTTCAATCAGACTCAAACTGTATTCTCCTGTTAGGGTGCATCTCAACCGTCTTAGAGTGGATTCCTTTCCTAGTCTCCTTTCCTTCATCTGCACTAATAGGAAACAATTGGATGGATGACAATAAATGAATCCACCATATTGCTTTCATCCTATGTCTTCAGATGCGTGGTGCTTAAGGAGAGAAGAGTAGGGGAAGACACTTTAGATGATCGAGACTGACCATAAGAGTATGAGGGCGATGTGGTCGAATGTCAAGAATGGAGGTTAAGATTATGTTCTATGCACCAAAGCACTCCTGGTGGTCTGTGGTTACATTCAACTAAACTAGTCAGAAGTCACTAGATGGACAAGCTACAACAAACAGAAGTGGCAACTTAGGTTACAGTTAGGTTGAGGTTAATATTTGTGATTAGAAGGCAACAGCCTACTTCCATCCATTCTAGCATGGCCAGATAGTGACGACTGTAAATGAGTCAGCTTCCTGAACGCACAACCAAAAATGGAAATGCACCCCACTTATTGAAGTGGTAGACTAACTACGGCAGGCTAGGGCTGCTTTCCTATTCTCCATTCTGCCTATGCCCTTGTTAACTCCCCCTCACGAAATGTAAAGCTTTGGGTAAGTGTAAACGATTATGCTTATTGCTCCTAGTACCCTTTTGATAGGCTGGAGGGAGTTTCTACCATCATGCTAACACCTATCCAATCCTCTCAGATCTTAGAGGGCAAGCCAGCAAGAGCAGATGGAGGGGAGTGGGTTGAAGAATTGAAGTGCCCTGTAGGTCTACTAATAATAGCTAAAAAGCAGTATAGTAGAGTTTTTATACACTACTACAGCACATGCCTTCACTGGACAACATTTGAAAGAGCTTTTGATTTCCACTAGTTATTGAAAGTGTCCCAGAAGACTTTGCACACTTGCTTTCAAAGACATTCAATTAAATACGTTAGTAAAGAAAAAGTCCCCCATTTTAAAAAGCCAGTAATACACATGTAGGAAGTTAAGCGTGCACTAATGTGGGACTTGATTTTATTCTTGTTATTCCAATATAGCCCTGTGGATATGTGCTGGCTATGGAAGGGTTACATCCTGATGGTGGTATTTTTAGACTAGAGACATGTTAAAGGGGGTATTTATTGAGTGAATCTGTCATGTTTTTATTTTCTATATACATACCAAAATGGTTAGCTTCATAAGTCTTGCAGTTCATTTGAAAGTAACTTTTTGTGTGTGTGAATGTACTAAACTGACTTAACTGGAAAACACACTACAGATAACTAGATTTTACTTTCTCCATATTTACTTTTTTGTACATGCGTTTGACTGATTTGAATTTTAGACAAGTGTTCATTAGAAACGGTATAAAAGAGGGCCTAACATTAAGGTGTGTGTGTGTGGTGGGGCGGGTGTAGGGAGTCAGCCATTCTCGAAGGGGATGCTGTGGCATTAAGGCCAGCGGAGAGGAGACAGAGGTTGTAAATACTGTAAGAAATACTGTGAAAATCTGACTGTATAGTGATCCTCCACACTTCTGTGTGAGTGCTAGGGAGTAATTTAACATTGGTAAGTAAATATTTCCATTAAAAAATGTCTGAACTTTTTGTTGTGTATGCATGTGTGAGAGACAGAACACCAACCTTGATGGGGTAATATGTTTCCTGTGACCTGTCTGCCTCTGGCAGCTGAGAGAGGGAAGGAAGACCACCAGGGGGCTCCACTACTGAAGATATCCTCTAAACACACACATCCTAATACACTACACCAACATGAAGTTACCCATCACTGCCCTCAAGACTACTGCCATTGCGTTTCTATAGGAGTCGACTTCTATACAGTTGGTCAGTGATTTATAACCAGTAAGTTGCCTTCTAGTTTCACTATAGGCCCGGCTGATGATAGACTACATAAAAAGCAACTGATTGTTTATGTTTATTTTATTTATTTCACCTTTATTTAACCAGGTAAACCAGTTGAGAACAAGTTCTCATTTACAACTGCGACCTGGCCAAGATAAAGCAAAGCAGCTCGATAAAAACAACAGAGTTACATATGGGGTAAAACAAAACAAAGTCAAAAATACAACAGAAATACATATATATACAGTGTGTGCAAATGTAGCAAGTTATGGAGGTAAGGCAATAAATAGGCTATAGTGCAAAATAATTGCAATTAGTATTAACACTGGAATGATAGATGTGCAAGAGATGATGTGCAAATAGAGATACTGGGGTACAAATGAGCAAAATAAATAACAATATAGGGATGAGGTAGTTGGGCGGGCTAATTTCAGATGGGCTGTGTACAGGTGCAGTGATCGGTAAGGTGCTCTGACAACTGATGCTTAAAGTTAGTGAGGGAGATAAGTGTCTCCAGCTTCAGAGATTTTTGCAATTTGTTCCAGTCATTGGCAGCAGAGAACTGGAAGGAATGGCGGCCAAAGGAGGTGTTGGCTTTGGGGATGACCAGTGAGATATACCTGCTGGAGCGCAGACTACGGGTGGGTGTTGCTATGGTGACCAATGAGCTAAGATAAGGCGGGGATTTGCCTAGCAGTGATTTATAGATGGCCTGGAGCCAGTGGGTTTGGCGACGAATATGTAGTGAGGACCAGCCAACAAGAGCGTACAGGTCACAGTGGTGGGTAGTATATGGGGCTTTGGAGACAAAACGGATGGCACTGTGATAGACTACATCCAATTTGCTGAGTAGAGTGTTGGAGGCTATTTTGTAAATGACATCGCCGAAGTCAAGGATCGGTAGGATAGTCAGTTTTACGAGGGCATGTTTGGCAGCATGAGTGAAGGAGGCTTTGTTGCGAAATAGGAAACCGATTCTAGATTTAACTTTGGATTGGAGATTCTTAATGTGAGTCTGGAAGGAGAGTTTACAGTCTAACCAGACACCTAGATATTTGTAGTTGTCCACATACTCTAGGTCAGACCCGTCGAGAGTAGTGATTCTAGTCGGGTGGGCGGGTGCAAGCAGCGTTCGGTTGAAGAGCATGCATTTAGTTTTACTAGTGTTTAAGAGCAGTTGGAGGCTACTGAAGGAGTGTTGTATGGCATTGAAGCTCGTTTGGAGGTTTGTTAACACAGTGTCCAATGAAAGGGCCAGATGTATACAAAATGGTGTCGTCTGCGTAGAGGTGGATCTGAGAGTCACCAGCAGCAAGAGCGACGTCATTGATATACACAGAGAAAAGAGTCGGCCCAAGAATTGAACCCTGTGGAACCCCATAGAGACTGCCATAGGTCCAGACAACAGGCCCTCCGATTTGACACATTGAACTCTATCTGAGAAGTAGTTGGTGAACCAGGCGAGGCAGTCATTTGAGAAACCAAGGCTATTTAGTCTGCCAATAAGAATGCGGTGGTTGACAGAGTCGAAAGCCTTGGCCAGGTCAATGAAAACGGCTGCACAGTACTGTCTATTATCGATCGCGGTTATAATATCGTTTAGGACCTTGAGCGTGGCTGAAGTGCACCCATGACCAGCTCGGAAACCGGATTGCATAGCGGAGAAGGTACGGTGGGATTCTAAATGTTCGGTGATCTGTTTGTTGACTTGGCTTTCAAAAACTTTTGAGTGTCACCCCCTTTGAAGAGGGGGATGACCGCGGCAGCTTTCCAATCTCTGGGGATCTCAGATGTTACGAAAGAGAGATTGAACAGGCTAGTAATAGGGGTTGCGACAATTTCGGCGGTCTTAAATGGCTGAAGGAGGCATCCCATAATGACTGGGTGGTTACCATGATAAGGACTTGGGTGGAAATTCACCTTGGTAACCTCGGAGTCAGTATGGTAAGAACTAATTACTGGACTGCACTCCTGTGGGGATATAGGAGCACGTGATTGCAGCTGAACAAGCAAAGGAGTACACACAGAAAACATAGACAAATGTAACACAACCAATTTATTATTTTCAAAAAAACAAACAAAACCACAACTTAGAAAACATACAGAAAAGGTACACCTTTAAATTACACAGGCTCTTATAAACAAAATAAAGTCTATATTTACATCAGCAGGGGTGACAACAGGTGACAGTTCTCTTCCTCTGGGTTTCTGTCATAATTAGATAAACATGTTTCTCTGATACATCTGTCGCTATACAGTCCCAACATTTAACAGTGCCATCCCCTTGGCTCTGGGTTGAAGTTGTGCTTAGCAACAGACCTAGGATTTTTTTTTACACTATCCATATCCTAGCCTTAACATTATAGGCAACGATTTAAAACTGACCATAGATCAGTGTCCAGGGGCCACTTCTTCCTACTCCCCCAAGCAAGGCTCACCAAAAGCTTTACCACAGTGTGACAGCAACTAAACACAGGCCTGTCTCAGTTAACAATATGATTACACCACAAATCTGACCTTCTGTCCAGTACATTGTGATTAAGACTGTATCCCAATAGTCTAAAGTGGCTTCATATTCTGTTTTTCTTCTCCATCTGCACTGATCTGAAAACATGGGTTGAAAACTTTCATTTCACCTGTCCAGATCTTTCAGGTCAGTGCAGATGAAGGAAAGGAGACTAAGTAACATTAGGACTATTGAGATGGAGCCCTGTTGTGAGAAGGCAAACTGCAGTACACGGACAGAGAAACAGCTGTGGTCAAGACAAGAGGCCAGGGTGTCAGGATACACAGACAAAGTGTTCAGGCCAACCTTTGAGTTCAATAACCACACGCACACAAAGAAACACACATTTTACAGAACATTTGTATAACGTTCTGTGCCAAATACATTGTAAACCCGCGTTCAAAATAAATTGATTGAAAGACATATGCACACACATCACATACAGCTTGTACACAACTAGAGAATAGAGAAGGATGAGATGAATCTAGAATAAGGGCTTGGAGGGGGATTCCTTACACATTTCTCCTCATTTACAGTAGATGTAACTGCTGATACACCACTTCTATCACAAGTGCAAACCTGTGAAACACTGGGTGCATCCCAATAGTCTAAAGTGGCTTCCTCGTCTCCCCTACGCTACTTGCACTGATGTGAAAGAAACTCTCGCAGAAGGAATCCCCCATATTGCTTTTACTTATCCTATGTTTTGTTGTCAGTGCATATGAAGGAGAGGATATAAGGAGACAAGTTTATATTTTAGACTACTTTGGTGCAGCCTTTGAGTCTGTTTTGGAAAGGAGATGAGGGTTCAGTGAAAGTGCATTCTTACAGAGTGCATCTCATTGCCTATGCTTGACCAGTGCATTGGCTAATAATGGGGATTATTCAGCCTCTATCACCACAGACCAGGTCATCTGTAAATATTGAGAATAAAAAAATAGTAAAAAATATCAAATAAAAATATTTATTAATTTCTAACAATCTTAATGTGGGATATTTCATGGTGCTGTGCCCATCCCAAACAGCAGAGGGCAGCACTCTCCTTCAGAATCAAAATCAGATCTATCCCTAATTACTGATAAATGTAGCTAATGTTTCAGTTTTTAAGGATATGGTCTAGACATAATAGATATTTGGTTTTAAGGGAAACATCTATGTCAATGCCTGTTGGTGACAGTAATGGACCTCAAGTCTAATCCAGTGTATCTCAACTAATTTCACATTGTGAATGTCTGCTTCACATTTTGAATGTGCCTTTTGTCACTAGCAACATGGATAGCCCAATCTATGATATGATTCATGACCAATTATCTTTTAGATTCAGCTGCCAGATTTATGAGTAAATGGCAAACACCTTTAACATCGTAACAAACAATGGTCTCATACTAACCCTAACATGTCATGGACTCTCCTGACATGGTCATATCACATGGCTAAGATTTAACCGTTGAACTCTAACACACTTGATGTGGTCCAAGATCCCCTTCTCCACACATACCCCTTTTCATTCAGTTCTCTACACACATATTTATTTCTCTCCGTTCCTCTCTTCTTTTTTCCTTTCTTCTCTCTCTGTCAGTCAGTGAGTAGCACTAGCTTTCCCTTGCTCCTTTATCCCTATTAAACTCTGTCCCCCTCCCTCTCCCTCCCTCACTCTCTCCCTCGCCCTCAGTCAGTGAGGAGAACTAGCTCTCCCTCGCTCCTCTCTCCTCTGTCGCTCTCCTCCCCCTCGCTGTACGGTGGTGGTCTCTCTCTCTCCCTCTCTCTGTGGAGTGGAGTGGGTGTGATCTGCCCCTCAGGTCTGCGAGGAGGCGGAGCCTCCAACCCTCGTGGCAGGTAGTGCTCCAATAGCGCAGGGTGGAATGGCACCGTCGGCATGGAGACCGTTCCACCGCCGCCTGGGTATTGGCCCTCGCCTGGGGCGTAGTGCAGCTTCAGCGGCTCTGATTGGCTGGAAGACAGGAAGAGACAGGACTTTGGTGCTGGAATGTCCAACAAATCCCAAATCCTTGTCTAAATCTGAAAGGACTGGATAGTTGTTTGTCCTGAGGCATGGCTGTATGTAGAGGTCTAGCACCATGTCTCAGGACAAGTCCATACCCAGAGAAGAGGACTGGACTGAAGTAAACAAACCACTCAAAGCTGCTGTTACTCAAGAGCAGTTTTACAGTCATAGAGAACAATAGAGCAGAGTTTTATTCACTATGAGAAACGACATAACCAGCTGTAGCCCTGCATTTCTATTTAACCACAGTGGGTTTGTTTGTATTCTTACAGAAAATGCATGTGGGACGGGAACAGAGTTCATTGTTTATTTTCACTAAGAGCTCTCTGTATAATAGCAACTCAGGTTCTATTCACTGTCAGGGCCAATCTCTAACAGAACATCATCTCCAGTGTGTGTGTGTGTGTTACCTGTGTGTGTATGCCCCTCTCTGCTCCTGTCTCCGGCTCTTCATCATGGCTTTGTACTCGCCCACCCGGAGTCTCCGCCCCTCCACGATGCAGGTGCGTTTGGGGCGGGGCTTGTATTTATAGTCGGGGTAACGCTCCAGGTGCTGTCGGCTCAGCCTGGCCTGCTCCTCATAGTAGGGCTGCTTCTCCTGGTTAGACATAGACTTCCATCTAGTTCCTGGAGGGAAGGAAGGACACAGACAGAGTCGTGAAAAAGGACACACGTGCACACAGTCGTGAAGGCGGCGCAACAGCACTTCTTCCCCCTCAGGAGGTTGAAAAGGTTTGGCATGAGCTCTCAAATCCTCAAAAGGTTCTACAGCTGTACCATTGAGAGCATCTTGACTGGCTGCATCACTGCTTGGTATGGCAACAGCACCGCCCTCGATCACATGGCACTACAGAGGTTGGTGCGGACAGCCCAGTACATCACTGGGGCCGAGATCCCTGCTATCCAGGATTTTTATATCAGGCGGTGTGAAAGGAAGGCCCAGAAAATCATTAAAGACTCCAACCACCCAAGCCACAGACCGTTCTCTCTGCTTCCGTACAGCAAGCGGTACCGGTGCATCAAGTCTGATACCAACAGGCTCCTGAACAGCTTCTATCCCCAAGCCATAAATAAGACTGCCAATTTGTAAGTCGCTCTGGATAAGAGCGTCTGCTAAATGACGAAAATGTAAATGTCTAAATAGCTAACTAAATGGCTACACAGTGAGATGACCCTTGTATGTTTTTTGTTGTTGTTGCACTGTCTCTATGCACACTCACAGAACTCTACACACTCACACACACACACATTTATACCGACTCGACACGCACACACACACACTCATCATATATACGCTGCTGTTACTCTGTTTATCATATATCCTGATGCCTAGTCACCTTACCCCTATACATATCTAACCCTACCACTCCAGTATCCCTGCACATTGTAAATATGGTATTGGAACTGACCCTGTATATACTGTAGCTTCTTACTTTCTCCTGTTCTTCTTATTTCTATTTTATATTTCTCGTATGTTTTTGTTCTACCTTATGTTATTTTTAGTACTACATTGATATTTATTACAGTTTTGTTAGGTTTAGAGCTAGAAAGAAAGGCATTTCACTGTACTTGTGCACGTGACATTAAACCCTGAAACTAGTTGGACACAGATTTCCAGAGAAAGGGCTTAGCTAAACTACGTTCGATGGGGAGGGAGGGGAGGAGGGAGCGATAGCATGAGTGTCTCCAGTGCTCCACAATGGAATGGAATGTAAGTGTTTGGTCAGAGGAAAGGGGTGTGTGTGGGGGGGTTCCTGTCGCCGGGGGAAGCAGGTGGCAGATCGTGCCTTCGCATGCCCCTCTGTGCCAGGACTACAGCAGGTGACACACCCGGAATAGAGACACACACACACAAAGAGTACACACAAACAATTATAGTGCACATTGACTGACAGCATGTGTGTGTTTTGCATGTCAATTCAATTTCATACGACTCTATTAATCCCAGAGGAGCCATTAGTGCATGCTTTATGTCCCCGTGTGTGTGTGCTCACCCAGTATCTTGCTGATGGAGGAGTTGTGCATGTCAGGGAAGGCCTGTAGTATACGTCGCCTCTCATCTTTGGCCCAGACCATGAAGGCGTTCATGGGCCTCTTGATGTGGACGGAGGAGGGGGGGCTGCGAACCTCTGTAAACAACCCTACACCAGGAGCAGACAGGGGGCCTGCAGGAGGGGAAGAGGGTGGGGGGGACAGTTAGTCAGTGGCCAACAACAAATCTACTTTCCTTCACTTTTAAAAGAACAAGGTGAAAACAAATACAAGAATTCTCCATGTTGCTTTCCCCTGCTCTGTGTGTTGTGTGTTCAGATCAGTGTAGATAAAGAGGAGGAGAGTAAAGCTCTAGACTACTGCCATGCTTGCCCTCTACCATCTAAACCACATGTTCTTTTTGATCAGGCAGTTATGGAGGGCCTACCCTCAGAGTCACTGCTGTGGTGGTCCTCGTTGGTTTGGCGGGTCTGTCTGTTCTCTCCCGGGTCTGGGTGTGGCAGCCTGTTGCTGTGTCCAGCCACCTTATACTCCTACACAGAGACAGAGAGTTACACACACACACCTGACAGACACAGGCCTACACCTTAACACACATGGGTACACATATTTGAATGTTGCGGCAATAAAAACAGGTCTGAAGAGAGCATTTAACATTATCTCTGTGTGTGTGCGTGCGTGAGTGAGTTGAACAGCACTATTTCTGGCTGAGCAGGGTGATGTTTCTCATATCAGCCAGTGTTTTAAAGCAGGAAATAATAGAGGGATGAGGAGGAGAGAACTGTGTTGTTTATAGACCTGAGGAGAGGAAGAGAGGATGGTGGAGGGGTGAAAGACATAAGGACTATCCTCTATGATGGCACCAAATGCTCCACAACAATGACATTGTCACTGCTGAAGAATGGACTCGTCTTGGAGCTTTTGGTGCCATTGTGGAGTCCATGAAAAGTCTACATTTCAAACACACTTGGCCGAACACTATCTATGGCTCTGGAGAGAAGAGGAGGAGGGAGAGAGAGACGGCAGAGAGGAGGGGGAGAGGAGGGGAGAGGTGTGTTACAGTGGACAAAGGAGAAAGGTGAGTCATCCCCATGGTGTTTATAAGAACACTTTTGTAAGTTTACAGCAGCTGTTGTTCCTGCTTGAGGACATGGCTGATACTTTCTCAGTGTGTGTGTAGCTGAGACATTCTCCAGTCTATAACAGCCACTGTGAGACCACGCATCCCTGTAACCCTAAACCTGGCCCTGAACCCACCCCCGACCCTAAGCCTGCCAGCCTGTGTGTGTGTGTGACAGGAGAGAGTGACTTTAGACAATGGCTTACCATCCTGGCAGTGCTGTCTTTCTCTCGCTCCCTCACTCTTCCGCCCGGCCCATGACTCCACAGCAGCTGCTGTGCATCGTGGATGGCCTGGGTCACCACATCCCCCTCTCCCAGGAAACCTGTAGAGAGAGAGGAGGAGAGAGAAAGAGAGAAAATTAGGGGGGGAAAAAAACAGGTACAAATTGGTCATTAGAAGCTCAAATGGACAGTGCACCGACAAAGTGTTGCAAATGTCAATATAAAAGTGAGTCAAGGTATCAGAGTACACCTATTGCATCAGAGGGGATGGGGATGGTAGCGCACAAGCCCTGAAGTCAAAGGAGGAACAGGTTCTTTCACACACCACACACACAGTCAGGGTGTTGACATGCCTGAATTTGAGGAATGGCATGAGTGGAGGTAGGTATGTGTGTGTGTGTGTGTGTGTGTGTAAACATTCAGTTTATTAGGTACACCATCTAGTACTGGGTCGGATCCCCCCCCTTTGCCTCCAGAACAACCTGAATTCTCCGGGGTATGGATTCTACAGGGTGTGGCGTTCAAACATTGCTCAATTGGTGTCAAGGGACCTAACGTGTGCCAGGCAGGATGGGACCATAGACTCATGCTGCTTACGCCAAATCCTGACTCAGGATCATCAGCATGACGCAACAGGAACCGGGATTCGTTGGACCAGGCAATGTTTTTCCACTCCTCAATTGTCCAGTTTTGGTGATCATGTTCCCACTGGAGCCGCTTCTTCTTGTTTTTAGCTGATTGGAGAGGAACCTGGTGTGGTCGTCTCCTGCAATAGCCCATCCGTGACAAGGATCGACGAGTTGTGCATTCCGAGATGCCGTTCTGCACACCACTGTTGTACTGCGCCGTTATTTGTCTGTTTGTGGCCCACCTGTTAGCTTGCACAATTCTTGCTATTCTCTTTCGACCTCCCTCATTAACGAGCTGTTTTCGCCCACAGGACTGCCCATGACTGGATGTTTTTTGTTCATCACACCATTCTCAGTAAACCCTAGACATTGTTGTGCGTGAAAAGCCCAGAGGTCGGCCATTGCTGAGATACTGGAACCGGCGCGCCTGTCATCGATGATCATACCACACTCAGTCGCTTAGGTCACTCGTTTTGCCCATTGTAATGTTCAATCGAACAGTAACTGAAGGCCTCGATGCCTGCTTTATATAACATGCCACGGCCTTGTGACTTCCTGTCTGTAGGAGCGAACCATTTGTGTAGCATATTAATGTACCTAATAGACTAGCTGGCCGGTGTGTGTGTGTGTGTGTGTGTGTGTGTGTGTGTGTGTGTGTGTGTGTGTGTGTGTGTGTGTGTGTGTGTGTATGTGTACGTACGTGTGTGTGCGTGTAGACTGACCCAGGTTAAGTGCAGGTCGTGAAGGGCTGTCTCTATGGTTGTCCCTGGGTCTGTACCCCCCCTGCAGAGTCAGCGAGCCCAGCTCAAAGGCCTGCGGGCTGGGGCTCTTCCCCATGTCCATCCCCTTGGGCTTGGAGGTCAGGTTCAGAGGCTGGCTGGCTTCCTAAGGGGATGAAAGACAGAAGAGTAGACAATTAGCAGTGTGTCAGCCCAACACAAAAAAACACATTCAGAATACACTGCTTACTTAAGTCAATATAAAACACACACACACAACTTTAAATTCTCATCAAAGTCAATATAACAAACACACCCAGGTATGGGGTGGGTGTGTATGTTAGGGTTATGAATGACATATTTGGTGTGTCACGGCAGATCTTTCCTTTCACACCGCTGTAGTGTTTCTTTAGTCTGTCTGTTCTTTCTTTTGTTTAGTGATTGTCTAGTGATTTACATGATGCCCTTTTCCACTTGTGCAACAGTGCAGACAGAGCATGACTGCATTGTGCACGCAAAGGCACACACACACACATACACACACAACTGTGAATGGGGTGTGGTGTATTTGTTAAGTTGTTCACTGTCCCAGATACCAGAAACATGCATTGTTAATTTGGAGTGCATTGTTTTGACAGCATTTTCAAAGATCTCCCAGCCTGTATCTGTAGTGTTAAGAGAGCTGGCTTCCTAGGTACATACAGTACATACCTCAGGCCTCAACCACCAACATGACATGCTATCCAAATACAAATATCCATGTACTATGTACTATAGTGCTGTATTAGGATTGTAACCTGTGCAATGTTTGCAGCTGTTATTTTCAGAGAGGTATAAAGCACAGAAAACCTGTCTTTATTGACACTTAGCATTTACACCATTTGGTTACTTTCCAATTCACCTTATTTTATTCCATCTGGAAAATAACAGGTGCAAAGATAGAATCTGGCCAAAGGTCTTACTCTACCATATAGTTTAGTAATGGATGAAAAGCACTACCTGACGGAAGGTACCACTGGGCCTTTTCACAGGGGTGGAGCGAGAGTTCTGCAGCAGCTGCATGGGATAGTCCACTGCAAAATAAAAAGGGTGGAGATGAAAGCTTCACAATCCCTGTCTGAAGGGAACAGAATCAATAACATCCAAACAACGTTTAGACATTATCTGTACTATCATCATGCTGACTGCACCACAGATTGAAGGGTATGAGCAGGGAAAATGGGGTTTGACTGAGAAGGTTACTGACCACAATACAATTTGAAAGGGACTACTGCTCTTTTTCTTGCAACTTACACAGTACATAGCAACAAGACAAACAAAACCGAGGAGCTAAATTGACCATTGTTTTGTTGTTTCAGATTGACATTTATGATACATTAAAAGTCTGCAGCGATCACTTGATGTCAGCATGTTACTTATTTGTTTTCATAGTGTATGAGAGGATTGAGTGTTTATAATGAACTACTGAGTAATCTAAACCATGTCACAGCCCACCAATGGGCCCCAACCAACCCTCATTTTTGGGAAGCATTGCAGTGGGGCCTTGGTCTGTGGAATTCCAGGTAAAAATACATATCTGCTTCAGTCTACCCTAGCTTCACACCACCTGACCTCCAAGACAGAGAAAAACACTGCCTCACAGATCAATGAGGTTCACAACGACCATCTGCACCCCTATTCACTGCATCCTCCCAGGCCTTTGGAAAGCCAGCAGGCATTGTAAGGCTGCTGAGGTATTCTTGTCAGTGCAGTGTTATGCGCTCAGTGAGGTGAGGCTACATTCAGGGGCAGACGTGTGTTTCTTACTGTTCATACCGAGAGGCTGCAAGGCTCCTAGAAACGCTCTGAGTTCAAGGAAGTCTTATAGAAGCCTTTTCTCCATATTTCTATGAGTGGAGCAATGCTCTACCCAGACAGAGGTCTATATTATTCATCTCTCCATTTCTGCTGCAGTGATCTGTATTTATACCGCACTAGACCTTGAGTTGAAGTATACAGGTCCATTTACAGTACTATAAAAGGTATTATTTATATGATAAAGCTTACAGAAAAACATACAGGAGATATTGCTGAAAGCACTGAGCTGTCGGCATGGTGACAACATGGTAACTCACCTGGCTCGAAGGGGATTGGCTAAGAGAGGTTGGTGAGCAGTGTGACTCACCTGGCTTGCAGGGGATTGGCTGCAGAGGCATGGTCATCTGGGTGTCGGAAGTGACAGGGAGTTGCTGGGTGTTGGGATGGAAGGCTGGGATCATCACGTAGGGCATGTTCACCTGCTGAGACCAGGTCAGACAGAGGGCACAAGGTCAGTCACACTCAGAGTTACCCCAAAGTTACTTCTAAATTCTGTTATGAAAATAGCATGTCATTTATAGAGGTCTCGTCTCACCTGGATCTGCTGCTGAAGCAGGTTGATTTTGTGCTGCTGCTGGATCAACTGCTGCTGCTGTTTGGCAATCTGGAATAAACCACACACACATTAACAACATAAAGCTTAGTCCAGGTACACTCAGGTTATGGTCAATGTTAGGGTTTGGGGTCAGAGTGAGTGTGAGTTGTGTTAGGGGTCAGAGGTCAGGATCACCTGTTCCTGCTGCTGTCTGGCCAGCTCCATCTGCTGCTGTTGTTTCTCCAGCAGCAAGGCGGCCATGTTCCTCTGCTCAGAGTGGGCTCCCAGCAGCTGCTCCCTCAGACCACCCAGCTGGTTGATCATCAACAACAACTGCAGCTCCTTCTCTGCCAGAGACTCTGGAGTGCCTGGGAAGGAGGGAGAACAAGAAAGAGAGAGAACGAGAGAGATGAGTACAAACAGGATTATACATAGAGAGGCAATTAGATATAGGAGGCAGACAGGCAGGCAAGCAGAGACTGACAGACAGGTGGAGAGACAGTTAAGACAAAGCGCTGATGGGTGAGTCAGGGGTGAGAGGTAAAGGTCAGGGGTTAGGGGTAAAGGGGTGAGAGCTCACCTTTCAGGTGGTTGCCTCCCAGGGGGCTTTTGTCCAGAAGTTTATCCCTCCAGTCCACACTCAGAAGCTTCTCTATGGTGGGCATGACTGCCAACAGGACACAGGACAAAGATGTGTTACTTGTTGTCCAGCCGCCATATTGTATGAACAAATGGAATTAGATTGTGTGTGAATCAACGCAGTAGTTCATATTTCAAGGTCTGCTACTTTGTAAGGATTTCAATAGGAAGGTACTTTGTGTGACTTCTCTTAAAAAAGAAAAACAGCCAAGGGAAATTCATTGCAATTCTGTAGCCAACGAATAGGAGCACAAACTTGAGCACACTGAGAGCTAAGGCAAACTCCTCTAGCCTCCTCAGATTCTAAATGGGATTCATTGTAAAAAAAAAAGGTGTAGGTGTACCATACCTTCGCTGACAGTGGGGTGCATGTGTCCCTCTGGTCGGTGGTTGTACCCCCTGCTGCCCCCCTTCATCCCCACAGGACTCTGTCTGAGAAGCTGTTCCTTACCAGGAGAGCCCTCCTACCAAGACATTTTACATTACATTTTAGTCATTTAGCAGACGCTCTTATCCAGAGCGACTTACAGTTAATGAATACATCTTTTTTTATACTGGCCCCCCGTGGGAATTGAACCCACAACCCTGGCGTTGCAAACGCCATGCTCTATCAACTGAGCTACATCCCTGCCGGCCATTCCCTCCCCTACCCTGTACGACGCTGGGCCAATTGTGCGCCGCCCATGAGTCTCCCGGTCGCGGCCGGCTGCGACAGAGCCTGGATTCGAACCAGGATCTCTAGTGGCACAGTTAGCACTGCGATGCAGTGCCTTAGACCACTGCGCCACTCAGGAGGAAAACATTGTTAGATCACAATCATATAGCTAACAAACTGTAGCTAGTTTGCCTGTGATAAACATAGTACAACCAGATCTACACAAGTGCCTATAGGCAAGGACTAGTGGGATTGGGAAGCAGACCTGGATAAGCTTTAAAATATTGTTTAAACAAAAAAATGGGAGAAGTTTATTACGGAGGGTGAGCGGGAGAGGGGAGGAGTCAGCTGTCTAGACTCCAGTCGTTCCCCTGGCTGATGTCCTGACCAATCACAGGCAGGGGAGGAGAGCAACTCTGCCTTGGCATGGGCTCCTCCCCCTTCTCCTCCAGACTCCTCCTCCTCCAACTTCACGCCGACGCCCACCATGCTGACATCACCGTTGGCATGGAGATGCAGCGCTGGGGGACTTTGCTCCACCATTCTGGAAGGAAAAGGGAAAAGAGAGAGCGAAATAGAGGGGGCGGGGGGGAGAGAGAATAACCATACAGGTGAATAGATAGTCCATGGGAACATGTAGGGGGAAAGCAACGCAAATGCTGTTCTGCCCTCATGCCTCTCGCCTTACCAGAGTGATCGCACAACAGCACGCACTCCCACTAACTGAGTGTCTCTATGACCGCCCAACTTTGAATTTTACAGCACGTCTGGAGCTGACCACACACACTAGTGGTGTGCGGCTCAGCAGTTTGTTCACCGCACCTGACCGCAATTGCTAATAACCCATCCGCAACTGCCCGACTATATGTGATAAAGTGAAAATCAGAGGCCTGCACCCGACCCTAACCCGCAAATATAGAAAATGCGCTATAGGCTACAGTCAAAGACTGCAGAATTATTTTTTGACAGGGGGTGCAGGATTTTTTGTTGTTGTTGCCTGATATACATATGTTTCTGCTTAAAGTTTCCAACATTTTGGTAGGCTATTTGCAGTGGCGACCCGTCATTTTGAGCCCCACATGTTATTTTGGCATTACTACGTGTCACATATCAGTTTGCAAACAATGTAAAAAAATTAAATAATCATTGAGTTAATAAAGCTGTATACAAACATGGTCTCTTTTTTGCTTTCTTGAGTAAGGCAGCTCCAAAACGCAGGTGTTTCAGCCTAGCTCAGTGCTTTCTGTGGTGGTGGTGGTGGGGCAGCCAGTGGAAAATACGGAGCATAGGTGTTGGTAATATTCTCTAGTTGCACCGTGATTGGCTCAGTGTTCTGTCACTCATGGGGACACTACATCACTGCCAAGTCTAAGGGTAGAGCTAAAAAATTCAAGCCCCTTGGGTGCTGCCATAGAGTTACATTAGAAGTGCCCATCCAAGAAGGCTCAAGGTCATTGGCCATAGATAAAATGACATCATATCACGTTATATCTACAGTAGCTTTGATTGAACTGATCATGTCAACATCATACTTTCAAAATCTTAGCTAGCAGTCATCATGAATCAAGTCGACAATCTACTGGCAAATCCTTTTTAATCCTTGTCATATGAAGATAAATAATAGATCAAACATATCTGTGCTCATCCACAATTGGACATAAACATTACACAACAAGTTGGAAAAGCGCAAATTCAACAATGAGTGGTTTGGCAGGAATCAGTGGCTAACTGCAAGCATTGCAAAGCATTCACTAGCCTGCTATTCAGTGGAGTGGCTGTGTGGTCACAAGTCTGAGATTAAGAGTCTATTTTCCAAGCTTAAAATGATAAACATTCAACATTGGCCATGCTGTCAATGAAGCATGATTTGTGCAGCGCTCAAAACAACTTAACTCGGAACTGCGAAATCTGACTTCAGTGAGTTCAAGAAAACTGGGAACTCGGGAACAAACTAGCTCCGACTGGGGAAATACGTTTTGAACGTCATCCAACTCGGAATTGTAAATCCGGAACTCTGGCCTATTTCTAGAGCTACGACCTGAAGATAACTGACGTCATCATGATTCGACCTTGTTTTTTTCAGAGTTCCCAGTTGACTTGAAAGCACCATAAATCCAGAGAATGCCAGACTATGACCAAATTTGCCCACGAAGGACAGCCGCACCACCTTCCTATTCAAGTGAGCACAGCACAACAAGTTGAGTCCAAAAATGTATTGTATGCTGCTGCTTAAGTGATGTAATATGCCAGGGAGATATGTATACTGTAGCTAAGAAAGTAATACTAAGTGTATGTTGTGTAGTAAGTTGTTAGTAGCCCATGTGCCTCACCCTAATAATTTGGTCTATTTTCCCCTCTTAATTTCGCCTACTGTTCTGACTTGGTGGTACACATGTAGCCTATAACCTGTTTAAGAGATGTAATCATCAAATATTGTAAGAGCTTTCATTGTCTGCTTATATGCCCCCTTTACTTATCCTACGGTTCTGACTTGGGGTACAGGGAGAACACTGCTTGTCGTCCCCTTATGTCATAGTTTGTACATCTCAATTGTCAGTAAAACCACATTTGTTTAAGCAAGTCAGCCATATCAGCTATGTTTTTTTTTTAAAGGCTGTAAATGAGGCTGAATGAACTGTTTCGCTGCCAGACAAGGCTCCGCTGATAGCCAGGTGTAGAAGTGGTAAGGTGTTGGGACTGCTGTTGGCACAGCTTTATGTAGGCCCTAACAGTTTGTGGGTACCATTTGTCACGTTATAGTGCAATTAATGTATTGTTTAGTGTTGTGTTGTGTAGTGGCTTTGCTGGCACGCATCCCACATTTTTCTGTTTTGTTTGCCCCACCAAGATTTACATGCTAAAACTGCCACTGGCTATTTGTTAGTCAACTTGTCTATAATTAGATACATGTAGCTTCTCTTTTGTCATTATGTTGCCCTAGAAGACTATAAATAACTCTTGCTCAACAGACTAATGTAATAGATCGATAGAATGATGGCTTCAATCAGGTTGACATTGGTAAAGTTCTCTCTGTCATCTTTTGTCGAGCAAAGACGTTTAGGGACTGTGGAGAAAATGAAAGATTTTCAGTGCAAAATGTCCAAATTACATCAGTTTGACCGGTTGTAAGGAAAAAGAAAAGCTGTGAAAACTACCCAACGTTTTTCTGATAATATTTCAGTTCGGCTTCGATGCATATTTGATGTGGTTGAAATACTATCAGCTTTTATGATGAAGACAGCACCTCTACAGATGGTATCTAACTGAGCATTGCAGAAAGAAATTATTTCTCCACTCCTGTTCCCAAGTCCAAATATTGCCTACATTTGGTGTACCATTTTACTGCAAGAAATGCTTAATTCTGCAGGAGTTTTATGAAGCCTATAGCCCTATTTGCACCGGACTAGTATTACTAGAGAACGTTGGTTATGTATTTATTATCCCAGAATGTCCGTTATTCCAGAGGACGATTCTGACTGGATTCGTTTTTTTCCAAACCGTGAGCGACACCTGTCAAACTCAGACATTTCTCTCAAAACACAGGGATGTCGATTCACACGGGACTAATATTATCAGTGGATTTTGGAGTTTGACAAAAAAAACAGTAGGTTATTCTGGTTAGTCAATGTCCAGATTTCAGTTTCGATTTAACCGATCTAAACAGTAGGCTACAGTTTGTTCCCTTGACATGCCATAGGCCTATTTTAAGTCCCGTCTTGTGACTGTCGAATTTGTATAAAGCCTCACAATCATCACACATAACATAGACGGCAGTGATATCATCCTCTTTTACCACTTCACCAAATATTTCCCAAACATTACTTTTCTGGCCCTCCCTTCTCTTTATGTTCAACTCTCCTTTCGCAGATTTTTCTTATTGAATTAAACTTAGACAATGTCCTTTTTGACTCCGTGGATTGATGTTAACTTTAGGCTTATGCAGTAATACCAGATAGCCTAAATAATGAACTTAGAACCTCAATGTATCCTATATAAATTGCACAATAATTATATATTTATTGCATTAAGGTATTGTTCCTCTTTATTCAACCCGAACACAATATTGAATTACCCTAAAATTACCCACTATTTCACACACACCACGACCAACTTTGTCTGTAAGAAAAAACCTACTCTGTGTAATCAAGACAAAGAAAAGTAAATGAGACCTTTCCAGGTGTGACTGTATCTCTGGGTCTCTGAGCTTTGGGTGTGTGTGTATAGAAACCATTGCTTTGCGTAGGGAACAAAGGACATACTGTGAATATCACACACACTTCAACTGTACCTTTAGCTTGAAAACCTAACTTCTAGTCTCAGGGAAAGTTAACCATCATGACAAGGCGAAGACTCTGCACATCACACACACACACGAACAGAAATATACAGAGAGATGGAGAGAGATGGAATTAAGGACAGGTTGAGAGAGCAGAGAGAGAGAGGCTGAACCTTAATGAACTCTCCGACTTTAGATGTGTTTTTTCCCACCTCCGCTGCAGGAGGAAATAAAAGCACGCCAGACAGGAGAACAAAACAAACAGAACACACAGGGCGAAAAGTGCACATATATATAAAGGGAGAGAAAAAAGCCATTGTTAGACGGGGAGAACAAAGGAAGCCGGGACAATGAGCGAGACGGACAAAAGCCGCGGGCCGCAGGAAACAGCGCAGATAACAATGCCTGCGGAATGTGCCGACGGACTCGGGGAACGGGGGAAAATTTCGGAGCGCCACCATTCTGCCGAGCGATTAGAGTACCTCCCCCCGTTCCCCCTTTCATATTCTGTCTCTACACAAAGCCACCTGCCTGCCAAAGGCCAAGGCTCTAAACCTGTGTGTATGAGTGAGTGAGTTGAGAACCAATACATTCACCATAACCTTTAACTTTTTTAATGTGCTGGGGGGGGGGTACTCTAATCGTAGAGCATAGAGGGAAAGTGAATACCTTGTCAGTTGCACAACTGAATGCATTCAGTGTGTCTTCAGCATTTAACCCAACCCCTCTGAATCGGGGCAGTTGTTGTTGGGAGTTAACTGGGGGCAGAACAGCAGATTTTTCCACCTTGCCAGCTCGGGGATTCAAACCAGCGATCCTTCGGTTACTGGCCAAACACTCTTCACCTCTAGGCTATAGAGGACTGCCTGTGGCAACAACCTTCAGAATCCACTCAAATCCCTTTCCTCCACACACCTCAAGCCTTTCGTCTTCATCTCAAACACTCTGTTCATTTGACTGTTCCTAATGTTTAAGGAGTGATGATGTTTCCCTGTGGGGGGTGTTGGTGGCAGTCAGCATCCTGCTGTGGAGCACAGGAATGTATTCCTGGTCTTCCGAACAGCATTCCCATCTGCGTTCAAAAGTGGCTGGCTTATAGAGCTGATACAGGTGGCTTTAGACTGCCACCCATGTGTGCGCGCGAGTGTGTCACCGCTCTGCCTGTGTGTCCAACACAAAGGCATGCCCAGAATTTGAGTCACAGACCTGCTGACAGCCTGGTATGCATTAAGGTTTGTGTGTTTTCTGGGGTTGGGGTCCGGCACATCTAATCTTAGAGTTAAACAATGCCGTAGTGTCACAGCTCAGACAATGCTTGGGCTCGCCTCACCTCAGCTTATCAGTGCTCTCAACACAAATCTAGTTAAATGTACACCGTCCATGTTTACATCAAACTGCATCCATGCGGAACTTGTGTGCATGTGGGTTTGGGAATTGTAAAGTGTGATTTCAATGTTAAATAAACGCTTACACAGTTTAGCGGATGTTATAGCGGGTGCAGCAAAAGTATTGTGTTACTAGCTCCTAACAATGAAGTAAAAATGCAAACAGATCATCAAATGATAATCCAATTTTAAAAAAACAAGAACTCATGAATGTCAGGAAAAATCAAGTTAACAACCCAAATAACACTATCAGTAATCCAAATGCAATCTATGCGTATATACACTAAAAATATATACTAAGAATGATATGTACAGCAGTAGATACTTCGCAGTAGAATCTCTCACTTAGAGATGGCTATTCAACAGTCTGATGGCCTGGAGATAGAAGCTGTTTTTCAGTCTTTCGAGTCCCAGCTTTGATGCACCTGTACGGTCTCTTTCTGCTAGATGGTAGCAGAGTGAACAGACCGTGACTTGGGTGGCTGAGGTCCTTAAAATGATCTGTTGGCCTTCCTTTGACACGAGTGCTGTAAGTGTCCTGGAGGGAAAGCAGCGTGCTCCCGGTGACCGCACCACACTCTGGAGAGCCATTCAGTTTATGGCAGCGCAGGTGCCGTACCAGGCGGTGATGCAGCCAGACAGAATGCTCTCAATGGTGCATCTATAGCAGTTTATCAGGGTCTTAGGGGCCATGATTAATTTATTCAGCTGCCTGAGGTTGTAGAGGCGCTGTTGCGCCTTCTTCACCACAGTGTCGGTTTGGTGGGACCATTTCAGGTCCTCCCTCCTCTGTCTTCGGTTGTCCACAATCAGCTCCTTTGTTTTTTTTACGTTAAGGGAGAGGTTATTTTCCTGGCTCCACTCCTCCAGGGCTCTAACCTCCTCCCTGTAAGCCATCTCGTTGTTGTTGGTAATCAGGCCTACCACTGTTGTGTCGTCAGCAAACTTGATGATTGAGTTGGAGTTGTGCGTAGCCATGCAGTCATGGGAGTACAGGAAATGCAAACAGAGAGTACAGGAGGGGGCTGAACATAAACACCTGGGGGGCCCCACATGTTGAGGGTCAGCGTGGCAAAGGTGTTGTTTCCTACCCATACACCCACCTGGGGTCGGCCCGTGAGGAAGTCAAGGACCCAGTTGCACAGGGAGGGGTTCAGACCCAGGGCCCTGAGCTTAGTGACAAGCTTGCAGGGCACTATGGGGTTGAAAGCAGAGCTGTAGTTGACGAACAGCATTCTCACATAAGTATTCCTCAATGTCCCAGTGGGATAGGGCGATGTGCAGTGAAACAGCAATTGCAAATTGTAGTGGGTCTGGGGTGTTGGGCAAGGTGGAGGTGATACGGTCCTTGACCAGCCTCTCAAAGCACTTCATGATGACAGAGGTGTGCCACAGGGCGATAGTCATTTAGTTCAGTTACCTTAGCTTGATTGGACATCTTGAAGCAAGTAAATATGCAATAGGCTGAATATGCAACAGGGTTAGAGAGTAGTGTCTGATTGTGGCCTAATAGACCACCTAGAACTCTGGGTTGGTTTAACATGCTTCTCTTTATGAGACCATGCAGGTCAAACCTGTAACACACATTCAAATTATTATTATTGTAGGACACAGCAGTTGAGCTGACCACAGCCTGTCATAACACAGCATACCTTTAGGACTGCCTGCCGTACCATAGACCTGACCACAGATACACTGTATATACAAAAGTATGTGGACACCCATTCAAATTAGTGGATTCGGCTATTTCAGCCACACCCTTTGCTGACAGGTGTATAAAAATCGAGCACACAGCCATGCAATCTCCATAGACAAACACTGGCAGTAGAATGGCCTTACTGAAGAGCTCAGTGACTTTCAACGTGGCACCGTCAGGATGCCACCTTACCAACAAGTCAGTTTGTCAAATTTCTGCCCTGCTAGAGCTGCCCCGGTCAACTGTACATGCTGTTATTGTGAAGTGGAAATGTCTAGGAGCAACAACGGCTCAGCCGCGAAGTGGTAGGCCACACAAGCTCACAGAACAGGACCACCGAGTACTGAATCGCGTAGCGCGTAAAAATCATTGCAACACTCACTACCAAGTTCCAAACTACCTCTGGAAGCAACGTCAGCACAATAACTGTCATGAAATGGGTTCCCATGGCCGAGCAGCCACACACAAGCCTAAGATCACCATGCGCAATACTAAGTGTCAGCTGGAGTGGTGTAAAGCTCGCCGCCATTGGACTCTGGAGCAGTGGAAATGCATTCTCTGGCATGATGAATCACGCTTAACCATCTGGCAGTCTGTCGGACGAATCTGGGTTTGGCGGAGGCCAGGAGAAGGCTACCTGCCCCAATGCATAGTGCCAACTGTGAAGTTTGGTGGAGGAGGAATAATGGTCTGGAGCTGTTTTTCATGGTTTGGGCTAGGCCCCTTAGTTCCAGTGAAGGGAAATCTTAATGCTGCAGCTTACAATGACATTGTAGATTATTCTGTGCTTCCACCTTTGTGGCAACAGTTTGGGGAAGGCCCTTTCTTGTTTCAGCATGACAATGCCCCTGTGCACAAAGCGAGGTCCATACAGAAATGCTTTGTTGAGGTCGGTGTGGAAGAACTTGACTGGCCTGCACAGAACCCTGACCTCAACCCCATCGAACACCTTTGGGATGAATTGGAACGCCGACTGTGAGCCAGGCCTAATCACCCCACATCGGTGCCCGACCTCACTAATGCTCTTGTGGCTGAATGGAAGCAAGTCCCCGCAGCAATGTTCCAACATCTAGTGGAGATCTATGAGCCTCACCACAGTCCTATATGTAAGACTCCTGGTAAATATAGCGGCTTGGGACTGTCATGACATCATGTACTAAACTAAAGCATGCATTTATCCATAGCAATTAAAAACAATTTCATTGAAGTGGGACTGGAAAACTGTATTGCACGTAAACAGTTTGCACTTATCGAAAATACTTTTCCAAGACTGTTACAGTCTAGTTCAAACGGAATGGAAACTCGGAGACAGGTGAAAGCGAGTTCATATACATTGCCTTCACCAATCCAGTCATGTTCAGATCAGTGATTACGTCTAAGAAAGGAGGGAGGCAGGATAAGATTAGCACTGAGTCTTTGAGCTCCGACACCTCTGAAATCATACACTTCCCACGACACACTAAACAGCCGACAAAAGCTTCAGTTACCCAACATGTTGTAACGTGCAAACCAAACATCTCACCCCAGGGCATCTGCAATGCCAATGTCTTCTGTTGTTCTCTCTTTCTTTCTTTCTCGCTCTCCCTCCCTCCCTCCCTCCCTGACAGGAGCGGTTAGTTTGCCCAGCACTGTCTTTGTTGTTTTCCAAACATGGCCTGAAGGGGACTAGTAGAGAGAGAGAGAGAGAGCGAGAGCGACAGAGAGAGAGAGAGATGAGCCAGGAGCCAGTTCCATTCCAGCACACGGCGGCTGATCAAGTGGCTGAGTTATTTTACTAAACAAATAAAAACTCTGCCATCGTGAACTCTGAGACTGACAAATCTAAAGACAGAAGCTCTGTATGGGCTCCTTGGGGCAGAGAGAGACACAAACACAGACAGAACTGACTTGACACACTCATCCCCTGGTGGAAGAATTGTTTAATGTTGTGTTAAGGTGCCCAAGCCATTAAAAACCTATAGCTGGATTCAATCAATCCTGCTTTAGGAATGTTTAAATGCTCTGGCAAAGTTAGCATGTTTACATGCAGTTGTCCGCCAGCCGAGAGTGGTTGATTCCCTTATGCCCAGAGGGCTGGTATAGTGGCAGGTGAGGCTGGCGATGGCAACATTGAAGCCTGATCAGTGGCTGGGACAGAACCCTTGTAAAGTAACATGTGCACTATAGTACAGGTTCAGATGCTTAGTGGGACTCTAGTACCATGGTCCTCCCTGGGGGAATTAAGTTGTGGTCCTCTGTAGCTCAGCTGGTAGAGCACGGCGCTTGTAACGCCAAGGTAGTGGGTTCGATCCCCGGGACCACCCATACACAAAAATGTATGCACGCACGACTGTAAGTCGCTTTGGATAAAAGCGTCTGCTAAATGGCATATTATTATTTATTATTAAGTTAGATGCTCTGTAAAGCCCCACTGCAGCCATTCCCTCTGCCTAATGCTTAATAACACTTTATTACACAATCCTAGCTCAGCTGGTATTACTGCTTTGCCAAGAGTCTGCAAAGCTGTCTACCGGACCTGCTATTTCAACCTCTAAATGCCCAGCTATGAAAAGCCAAGTGACATTTACTCCTGACGTACTGACCTGTTGCAACCTCTACAACCACTGTGATTATTATTTGACCCTGCTGGTCATCTATGAACGTTTGAACATCTTGGAGAAAAATCTGGCCTTAATGGCCATGTACTGTTATAATTTCCACCCGGCACAGCCAGAAGGGGACTGGCCACCCCTCAGAGCTTGGTTCCTCTCTAGGTTTCTTCCTAGCCACCGTGCTTCTACATCTGCATTGCTAGCTGTTTGGGGTTTTAGGCTGGGTTACTGTATAGCACTTTGTGACATCTGCTGATGTAAAAGGGCTTTATAAATACAATTTCATTGATTGATTGATCGATCGATCAAGGCAAAGGGTGGCTATTTGAAGAATCTCAAATATAAAATATATTATGATTTGTTTAACACTTTTTTGGTTACTACATGATTCCATGTGTTATTTCATAGTTTTGATGTCTTCACTATTATTCTACAATTTAGAAAATAGTAACAAATAAAGAAAAACAATTGAATGAGTGGGTGTTCTAAAACTTTTGACCGGTAGTGTGTATATTTCCTGATCTTTCTTATATGTCCTAGATATAGGACAGACACTTCAGAACCTTATCATCCCCCCCCCCCAAGGCTTCAACTTTTAGAGTTAACGACAACTATGGAGAAACAAGCAGTCGGTCACTCCTCATTTAGGACCCCATCAGAGAGAGAGAAGCAGAGAGGAAGGGGGAGAGAAGGAGAAAGTAAGGTAAGGGAGAGATACCTCTTTGGTGTGGTGAGTGTGGAGGTCCCCAGACCCAGAGGACCCCTCCACAGTAGAGCACTGGTGATGCTGAAACACGTCATGTTCTCTTCAGGCACACACAGGACAGCCGTCTAACACTCTCGCTCTCCCTCTCAGGACAGCCCAAAGCCACTCTGTAGTCTCAACTCTTTCTATGTTCCTCTTTCCTTTCAACTCTCTAACTTTTTCTCCCTCCCGGTCTCTCTATATCCCTCTTTCTAACTATCTCCCTCTATGCCTCCTCCCTCTGTGTGTTCATGTATACCTCCCATTGTCGTGACAAAGAGACTCTTTTTGGCATCTTTGAGCTAAACAATCCACAAATTTGCATAATATGTGTTTTGCACCCGGTCACCCTATCTTGAACATTAAATATGTGATAATCAAATAGTTGGACCCACAGGTGTGATCCAGGTGTGTGATACTGCGCTGGGATGTCCAGTAACACCTAACAATGTCACCTTTATGCATTACTTGCGTTTCTTGGCCACCTGCCTGAAATGGGGACACCACAGAAGAAGGAAAGAAAGGAATATCACACATTCAAATATAGCACAGGAGCTGGACTAGAAACAGCGTGTCAATGAACATAAAGCATATGTGTTCACCGTTTTCTGCTCCCAAGCATGATTTTCATTGATCTGGTGATCAACGTGAGTTTTGAACGTGATGGTCTTCATCAGAGCAACTTTTGTGTGATTATATGACTGTCGAGTCACAGAGTTTAGTAAGACGATATGGTTAATAGTAATATATGGTTGTATAACTCACTCAAATAAAGATCACGCTCGGCAGCAGCAAACAGCGGATGTACGGACATTCACTCTCCTTTCATTGGTGACACAAAATATTCCCTCTGCTTCTCTCCAGCCCACACAATGCAGCTGTGGATTCAACCCTGGTCCTGGGTACCCACTGAAGATGACCATCAATTAGGATCTGCCTCGTTAAAGGCCACCAATTAACTTTGAATCCCTCATTTTAGAGATTTTCTCCGAAATATACACAAACAAATGCCATCTCTTTAAGAATATTGACCAAGAATATGTCTAATAGTTCAACGTGGGCTAATTACCTGAGTTGAGATGAAGACCTGGATCCACAGTGGGTTCCTAGGACCATATCTCCCTCTCAGTCCCCCCTGAATCATAGACAGCCTCAGGCCCAGACCATATCTCTCTCTCAGTCCCCCCTGAATCATAGACAGCCTCAGGCCCAGACCATATCTCCCTCTCAGTCCCCCCTGAATCATAGACAGCCTCAGGCCCAGACCATATCTCTCTCTCAGTCCCCCCTGAATCATAGACAGCCTCAGGCCCAGACCATATCTCTCTCTCAGTCCCCCCTGAATCATAGACAGCCTCAGGCCCAGACCATATCTCCCTCTCAGTCCCCCCTGAATCATAGACAGCCTCAGGCCCAGACCATATCTCTCTCTCAGTCCCCCCTGAATCATAGACAGCCTCAGGCCCAGACCATATGTCAGATATTTAGTATACTAAGCCTTGTAGTGAGAGAATAACGTCAACACATACATTTGTCTGACATGATGAGCCCGACATGTGGCGGCTGCTATGTGTGCGTGTCTATATTTGATATGATATTTTATAGAGGCGGGGGGTTTGGCAAGACGACAGAAATTAAATCTGATACAGGTGTTGCAGATGGCATGGTTGTTTCTCTTAGTGTTATGCCGGCGTACAACGTTTCTCTCGCTCTCTCTCTCACGCACGCACGCACTTGCTTGCTTTCCTTCTCTGAATGGGTCTGATGCAGGTTTTTTGTGTTGTGTTGCTGACTACGTCTCATTAGGAACTGAGCTCTCAGGGCCACACACACAAAAGCTTCCCTTCCCTCGCTCTCCTCTTCCTCTCTGTTTTTCTGTTCTTTTGGCCTTTTGATGTCAAGAGTGCCGATCCCAGGGGGCTACACTCTGGCCACAGAATACACTCACACACAGACAAGAGACTCATTCACTTTCTCACACACACACACACACACACACACACACACAAACACACACACTGCGGTGAGGAGTTGTAAAAGCATGATAAGGGCAGAGGAGAGGTAGTCAAGGTTGAATCAGTGTCGTTTTTCTCTGTGGTTGATGGCCAGATCTCACCACACAAAGACCAGTGTTGGGAGCTCCAGGATACACTGATAATAATCACTATTTTTCTCAGCTTTTTCCGTGTGGAGCACAGGTACAGCCCCAAGGCATCCCCCTCCGTCTCACCACATACATACACACACACACAACTAATTCAAATTACTTAGTAGTATATTCCACTTAACTTCAACATCTAAAACACACTGTTGCCAATGTCACATGTTCACCTTGTTATTTATCTAAACCTATACAGTTTGAGGGCTCTACTCTCCTGTTCTCTCTCTGCTTTCCTTGTGTCCTCTCTCCCTCTGCTTTTGCTGTGTCCTCTCCTTCTCCCTGCTTTCTCTGTGTCCTCTGCTTTCCCTGCCCTCTCTCTCAGCTTTCTCTGTGTCCTCTGCTTTCCCTGCCCTCTCTCCCTGCTTTCTCTGTGTCCTCTGCTTTCCCTGCCCTCTCTCCCTGCTTTCTCTGTGTCCTCTGCTTTCCCTGCCCTCTCTCCCTGCTTTCTCTGTGTCCTCTGCTTTCCCTGCCCTCTCTCTCAGCTTTCTCTGTGTCCTCTCTCTCACTCTCTGCTTTCCCTGTGTTCTCCCTCTCTGAGGAGGCTTTCTAAATAAGATGTAAATGTATAAATAGGTTGATGACACAACTGCACTTTTCACAAAAAGAGAGAAAGGAGAGAAAATAAAAAAGAAGAGAAAGGAACTCTGGCTCTGGTGCAGCGGCTCCTTTCTTCTGCTTTTCAGAAACGCAGGTTAAAAAGCAGCCTTTTCATCCCTCTCTCTCATCCCTCTCTCTCTCATCTCTCTCCGACTTAGGAACAGGCAATGTATTGTGGTGGATAGCGAAAGGGTACTGTGGTATTTATCAGAAAAGAGAGGAGGAGGAAAGGAGAGGGATGAGGACAAAACATACTCCCAATAAAGTGAAAGAACAAGAGAAGGGGAAGAAAGGATGTGTATGAAGTGCCCCTTTCGCAGAAAGACCCCCCTCGCCCCCTCCTCCCTCAAAAGGGGAAGGCACACACAATGTGCTGTTTCCTTTAGCCCCGACACACTTTATATCCTAGCCCCATTCAGGACCTTTAGCCCCGACACACTTTATATCCTAGCCCCATTCAGGACCACTACTTTAGGGCACCCATGTGTGCACAGAGCATATGTGGCTGAGAGAGAGGATGTGTGTGTGTGCGTGTATAGATCCCTGTTTGCTGAGGGCCTTATAGACTGACAGGCCATGGCTCTAAGGAGTTGCCATGGAGATGTCTTTGTGCAGTAAGTTGCACAACAGGTGATTCTAAAGAAGGCTAGCTGAGCTGGTCTCAGTATTGAGAACTGCGGGAGGTGTGTGTGTGTGTGAGAGAGAGAGCGAGAGAGAGTGTGAGTGAGAGAGGAAGCGAGGGAGAAAGAGAGAGATTATACGAGGTGTTAGCTGTTTCAGGATCCAGCTTGGCCCAGAGTTCTTAACTAGCTCCTTTATACACAGATCATGTCTAAAATTGCTTGGGTTTACCGGGCCACACTGCTTTACACACTAACATGCATCTAACCTCACCGAAAGAGAGAGTGCATAAGCATCAGAGTTGATCATATCTTCAACTCCAAGTATTGTGAAATCTACTATAATATATATATATATATATATATATATATATATATATATATATATATATATATATATATACATACACATATACACACACACATACATACATACAGTGGGGGGAAAAAAGTATTTAGTCAGCCACCAATTGTGCAAGTTCTCCCACTTAAAAAGATGAGAGAGGCCTGTAATTTTCATCATAGGTACACGTCAACTATGACAGACAAATTGAGGAAAAAAAATCCAGAAAATCACATTGTAGGATTTTTTTATCAATTTATTTGCAAATTATGGTGGAAAATAAGTATTTGGTCACCTACAAACAAGCAAGATTTCTGGCTCTCACAGACCTGTAACTTCTTCTTTAAGAGGCTCCTCTGTCCTCCACTCGTTAACTGTATTAATGGCACCTGTTTGAACTTGTTATCAGTATAAAAGACACCTGTCCACAACCTCAAACAGTCACACTCCAAACTCCACTATGGCCAAGACCAAAGAGCTGTCAAAGGACACCAGAAACAAAATTGTAGACCTGTACCAGGCTGGGAAGACTGAATCTGCAATAGGTAAGCAACTTGGTTTGAAGAAATCAACTGTGGAAGCAATTATTAGGAAATGGAAGACATACAAGACCACTGATAATCTCCCTCGATCTGGGGCTCCACGCAAGATCTCACCCCGTGGGATCAAAATGATCACAAGAACGGTGAGCAAAAATCCCAGAACCACACGGGGCGACCTAGTGAATGACCTGCAGAGAGCTGGGACCAAAGTAACAAAGCCTACCATCAGTAACACACTACGCCGCCAGGGACTCAAATCCTGCAGTGCCAGACGTGTCCCCCTGCTTAAGCCAGTACATGTCCAGGCCCGTCTGAAGTTTGCTAGAGTGCATTTGGATGATCCAGAAGAGGATTGGGAGAATGTCATATGGTCAGATGAAACCAAAATAGAACTTTTTGGTAAAAACTCAACTCGTCGTGTTTGGAGGACAAAGAATGCTGAGTTGCATCCAAAGAACACCATACCTACTGTGAAGCATGGGGGTGGAAACATCATGCTTTGGGGCTGTTTTTCTGCAAAGGGACCAGGACGACTGATCCGTGTAAAGGAAAGAATGAATGGGGACATGTATCGTGAGATTTTGAGTGAAAACCTCCTTCCATCAGCAAGGGCATTGAAGATGAAACGTGGCTGGGTCTTTCAGCATGACAATGATCCCAAACACACCGCCCAGGCAACGAAGGAGTGGCTTCGTAAGAAGCATTTCAAGGTCCTGGAGTGGCCTAGCCAGTCTCCAGATCTCAACCCCATAGAAAATCTTTGGAGGGAGTTGAAAGTCTGTGTTGCCCAGCGACAGCCCCAAAACATCACTGCTCTAGAGGAGATCTGCATGGAGGAATGGGCCAAAATACCAGCAACAGTGTGTGAAAACCTTGTGAAGACTTACAGAAAACGTTTGACCTGTGTCATTGCCAACAAAGGGTATATAACAAAGTATTGAGAAACTTTTGTTACTGACCAAATACTTATTTTCCACCATAATTTGCAAATAAATTCATTAAAAATCCTACAATGTGATTTTCTGGATTTTTTTTCTCTCATAGTTGACGTGTACCTATGATGAAAATTACAGGCCTCTCTCATCTTTTTAAGTGGGAGAACTTACACAATTGGTGGCTGACTAAATACTTTTTTCCCCCACTGGATGGATGGATGGATGGATGGATGGATGGATGGATGGATGGATGGATGGATGGATGGATGGATGGATGGATGGATGGATGGATGGATGGATGGATGGATGGATGGATGGATGGATGGATGGATGGATAGAGAACTGGTTATTCTCCTTGGAATGGATAAACTTGGCTGAGCCAAAGCCAATCTCCATAATGTGTGTGTGTGTGTGCGTGCATGAGTGTATACATGCGTGTGTATACTGTCATATATGTCAGAAAGATACCGACATAAATTAAGGCAAACAAACATCAAAGCTACTGCAGTCAGAGAGCAACTAAAGTAACAAGACACAACGTCATAGGCTATGGATTGCCAGCAAGGAATCCGATTAACCAATCAATCATCAAATTCTTAAAAGGGGTGTGCACAGATAAAGATGGTTTAAGAATCAATATCCTCCTTTATGGAAACCTAGCAAACTGTTGAAGGGCTGAAAGTCTTTTCAACACATGATGAGATACTGTACGTGTAATTCCTTTCGATAACTTGATTTCTCAGAGCAGAACTTGCTTTTTTATTTTTTTATTTAGGGTCTATAATCTAGAGCCTAAAATAGCCTGTTTTCTGGATTTATAATATACTCTTCTGCACTGCTTATCAGTTGAACAAACTTTGACTGTAATTGGTGAAATGGTCTCTCACCCAGGTATGGTTCAATACAGATTTACAGTAACAATACATTATTCTTTTTCAGATGTGTTTCCTGGTATTATACATGCTATCCAAATCCATATTTAAATAGAGGTGAGATAGCTATGATGGATAAAGATATAGGCTATGAATCACTTGTAGTTTACCAGCTCCATTTAAACTCTCTAAGAAATACTCTACAGTGTGACATTTTCTGTCTGTTAATGTAGAACTGGGGTAGGCAATGCTGTTCCTGGAGTACCAGGTACTGCAGAATTTTGTCCCAACTAGGCACCAGACCAGACCAACTGAGCTAATTGATCAGTTCAGTGATTGACTAAATTCAACATACCTGGTCTTCCAGGTTGGTTAAATCAAAAACACAAAGTGCCTGTGGCACTCCAGGACCAGGGTTGCCTACCCCTGATATAGAGGTATATTCAACTGACAGAACAATGAATGGCGGCGTATGGCGGTATGCTTACCCAATGTTAACTTGTATGCCTCTCCCTAACCTCACTGAAACTATAACTAACTTTAACCCTCATCCTTATTTAAAGTTCGCCTAACTTAAGTTTTAGTTTTACCAGTTGAATACAATAGGGGCAGACTGGCCAGCTGGCATTTCGGGCAAATGCCAGATGGGCTGGTCCATTTTTATCCCAGTGGGCCTGTCAAACTTGTTTTTGTTGAGCAAATTATCATTATCTGGCTAGTAATGGAGGCCTTAAAGGGCATGTAGCAGCTATTTCTCAATGCCAGAAAAACATATAATAGTAACTTAGAGCACCCCAAGAAAACATTCCCAAATTACAAACTCTTAAATACATTTTTATAATACTGTAATATTGTTCTAAAAGTTGGGTTTGAGGTTCTCCCCACATCAGCTCTAACTTCGGAAACAATCCCACAATGCTCTGTGTCAGCGTCACACAGTGAGGAAATAAAAATCCATGCTCACCCTTCGCATCAAGTGCTTCATATAAAAATTACAAAAAAGGGTGGGTAAGTAGGGTGTTGCAACATTTGCTATGCAAATGTGAGTATGTTATGCCTCTACGGCCACACAAATGAAACACTTAGCAAAAAATGGGATACATTTGTGAGAATGAGGTGGGCAAATTGGGCATCTACCAACAACATGGCTTTAAAGTATCACAAACAGC